GTGCTGTGAACGCAGCCGTACACCATATGCAAGTGAGTGGGCATGGCTGTGTTCCAATAAAGCTTTATTTACAAGAACAAGCAGCAGGCTGGGGGTTGCAGTTTGCCAGTCCCTGATTTAGACTATAAAAATACACAAACTTAAAATGTACGTTAGCATTTATCCTCGTCTCTCGTTTTTCTTTATAGGCAGAAGACTGATCTTGGAAAATATGTATTTGGGAGATAGTCACGTTCTGTTGAATACCTTGTGCTGGTGCTGCCATCGAAAAATCTGGTTACACTCCGGGGAGGCCTGCTGCCGCTGCAGGACTGGACCGCCTCGGCCCTGAGATGAGTGTCCGGCCTGAGCGGGCACACCATGAATAGATACACAACGATCAAGCAGCTCGGGGATGGGACCTATGGTTCCGTCCTGCTGGGAAGAAGCATTGAGTCTGGGGAGCTGATTGCTATTAAAAAGTAAGTTTTATCCGTCACTCCCATGAATTCATCCTCACCTGCAGATCGTCAACATAGTTTTAACTCTACCCTCTCCATTCCTCGTCTTTGAAAAAATTTGAGGGGTGTGGGTGGGAGACATGGAGGAGAATGTTTCGCATTGATTTCTGGGGGTTAGATGATTGTTAACTCTGGAACGCTCATGTTAGAGATCTTAAACACATTCCCACTTAGGATTTATTATATTACTTACAGCGCTAGTACTTTTTCAAATTGTTTCCTCATGTTGTGAGGCAGTAATGAGCAAGTTAAGAAACATTATTTTCTAGGAAAGGAAACTGAAACTCTGAGAAATTAAGTGACTTAATGTGGATTATTTACATGTGTAGTGGTCTGGTGAATACTGGCTCGTTCTCCCCACCCCATGTGCCCTTTGTAAACTGATCCAGACTCATTGTATTAGTTATCTTTTGCTGTGTAACAATTTACCCCCAAGAATTAGCGGTTTAAAACAACAGACACTTATTATCTCACAGTTTCTGTGGGTTGGGAGTCTAGACGTGGATTAGCTGAGTTCTCTGCTATTGAGTCTCTCATGAGGCTGCAGTCAAGGAGTCTTGGCCAGTGCTGGGGTCTCATCTGCAGGCTGGACTGGGGAAGGATCCACGTCCGAGCTCACATGATCGTGGGCAGCACTCAGTACCTCATTGTTGGACTAAGGGCCTCACTTCCCTGCTAGCTGTTGGGTGGAGGCTGCCTTCAGTGCCTTGCTCTGTGGACCTCTCCAAAGAGCAGCTCACAATGTGGCAACTTGCTTCCTCAAGACGTGGGAGCCAAGAAGGCAATGAGAGAGTCTTCTACCAAGATGGAAGTCACATCTTTTCTGCTTTTGTAAACTAATCACAGAAGTGACATCCTCTCAAATTGCTGTATTCTGTGGGTTAGAAGCAAGTCATTGAAAGAGGGCGATTATACCAGGTTGTGGGTACCAAGAGATGGGGGTCTTTGGGGGCCATTTTAGAGTCTGCCTGCCACACCCGTCTATGTTCAGTTTCCATCTCAGCATCTCCATTTGGATGCCCTGCAGACACTTCTGATTCATCCTATCCAAAACTGAACTTATGTCCAACATGTCCTCCCTCTCCTGCTCCAAACCTGTTTCTCCTTCAGTGTTCCCTATCTTGATAAATGATGCTACCGTCCCTTCAAAACATGGGAGTCCTCCTGACTTCCTCATGTATGCTCCAGCGTTGGTCATCTACCTGTAGATTCTAATGACTGAACAGTTATCTGATCCGCCTACTTCTCTATATTCCCACTGCTAGCTTCCCAATCAATTCATTCTTGTTTACCACCTCTACCACTGGAATAATGTCTTCTGTAGGGCTCCTGGCTTCCGTTCTAACCCCTATCCAGTCTAGTCTGAAGGGATTATTGTAAACCCACAGATCTAATTGTCTAAAACCATTTGTGCTAAACACTGTGCCCCTGCTGCCCCATCTTGTCCCCCTGTCCCACCTGACTTCAGTGTGCTGTGTGCACAATTCTGTGCCCACCACCAGCATCGCACCTCAAGTATACACAGGAGACTCCCCAGAAGGCCCCAGCAGGATGGAGTCCCGGTTGCCCCCCTCAGTATCAGCTCAGTAATGCACCCTTTACTGGGTTTCCCACCTCTCTGTTCCCATTTTACCTCTCCTTACCCTGGTTTCCTGGAGTCACCTCCCAGATTAACTACCTTGCATTCAGGTCTTTGCCTCAGGCTCTGCTTTCGGGGAAACCGGACAGCTTTCAGTGTCTTCCTCTCAGTTTTAGGATCAAACCCCCAATTTTTAAGGTGACCTACAAATTGCTGCCGCATTTGGCCCTCACCTGTTTTCTTCAGCCGGATCGCCTGTCCTACTTTGTTCCGGCCACTCTGGCCTTTCGGCTTCTTGAACTCACCACATACCTTTGTGCCCTGAGACTTCACACGATGTTCCCTACCCCACACCCCGAATTGGGCTAAATTCTACTCGTCCTTCAGGTCTTGGTTGAAGTATCACTTCACTAGAGGAGTGTTCCCTGATTACCCCTGACCAGATGAGGTCGCTCTGAGGATCACTCTCATAATGCCCCGTGCTTTCCTTCCTAGCACTTAGCACAGAGGAGGGTTAATTGCCTGCCTTCCTGCTATGATGTCAGTTCCATGAGGGATGTCTCTCGTCGTTGTGTCTCCAGTGACCGACAAAGCCTCTGCCACATAGGAGGGACTAAATAATATTTGGGGCATAAATAAAGGCATTGGTCTCTCAGCCAGGAGATGGTGCAACATCGGGGACAGAGTGAGGTGGAGAGATGGAAGTTGGTCTGTTATTAGCCAGCAGCAAGACCTTGGGGAAATCACAGAACTTCTCTGTTTCCTGGTTTCCCACCTGTCCCATCTATTTCATGGGGCTGCTGTATGACTCGAATGAGACACTGTGGTTGAAGTGCGATGAAAGACATAACCTTGAAACTTGGGTTTCTGGCTGGCTGATAGGGTTCTCTTTCTCGCCCCTCAGGCTCTAGACCAGAGGTTGGCACCCTTTTCTGTAAAGGGCAGACAGTAAAGATTTTAGGCTTTGCAGCCCATATGGTCTCTGTCACAACTCAATTCTGCTGTCGTAGTGTGAAAGCAGCCGTAGACCGTCTCTAAATGAATGAGTGTGGTTGTATTCCAATAAAGCTTCATTTATGGAAACTGAAATTTGAATTTCATATAATTTTTACATGTCACGAAATAGTCTTCTTCTTTTGACTTACTTTTCCCAGCGATTTAAAAATATAAACGCCATTCTTAGCTCGTGAGCTCTACGAAAACAGATGGTGGGGTGGAGTTGGCCCATGAACCGTAGTTTGCCAACTCTCATACCAGACGGTCTGGAACTGTGCTGTCCAACATGGTAGTGAGTAACCGTATGTGGCATTTAAATAGAAATTTAATTAGAAATTCAGTTCCCATGTTGCACCAGCCGCATTTCAAGTGCTCAGTAGCCACATGTGTCTCGTGGCTGCCATAATGGACAGCACAGAACCTTTCCATCAATGTGAAAAGTTCTGTTGGGCAGCTCTGGTCTAGATAAAATAAGCCTGAGGGATTTCCCTCCAGGGCAGATTAGTGACAGAGCAAGACAGCAGACCAGGCCTTTTGCACTGAACCCCCTCTGCCGGGAAATTTTGTGACGTAGGATTGATTGCACTGCCAAGTTTTAAAATCTTGTTTTGGACAGTCTAATATTTGGTAGAAAGCAAGACCGACCTTAAATACTGTTCATTAGGTTCAGAACGAAAACATTTTTGAGAAATCAAGTTTAGCCTGTTGCTGGGAATAAGCATGCTATTTGTTTCTTTCTTCTCTTTTAGAATGAAAAGAAAGTTTTATTCCTGGGAGGAATGCATGAACCTTCGGGAGGTGAAGGTATTTATGAATACACCAGGGACCGATTTACGTTTGGTTGATAAAATCGCTTCATACATGCTTAGAGTTATAGTTGATGGAGTCATTCTGTTTGAACGGTTCCGCTGATGCTGAAAAAAGGGGAAAATGATAACATTATGCAGCTAATAACTGAAAGAGGATTGCTACGCTATGTTAGTGAATATACTTATTTTTTAACATTGGTAGTACTCTTGACTAAACCAAAGATTTATTCAGATTTCATTAGTTTCAAACTACTGTCCTTTTTCTTTCAAATTGTGATGAAATACACATAACAAAATTTACCATTTTTTAGCCTACAGTTCAGTGGTATTAAGTACGTTCATAATGTCATACAACCATCACCACCATTCATGAAGAGAGATGAACTATTTTCATCTTGCAAAACTGAAATTCGGTACCTGTTAAACTATAACTCCCCATGCTCCCTTCCCCCAGCCCCTGGCAACCACTATTCTGTTTTCTGTCCCTATGAAATTGACTACTCTAGGTACCTCATACAAGTGGAATCATACAGTATTTGTCCTTTTGTGACTGGCTTACTTCCCTTAGCTTAAGGCCTCAAGGTTCATCCATGTTGTAGCGTGTGTCAGAATTTCTTTCCTTTTTAAGGCTGAATAATATTCCATTGTAGGCATAGACCACATTTTGTTTATCCATTCATCCATCAAGTGGACACATGGGTTGCTCCCACCTTTGGGCTCTTGTGAACCTTTCCATTTCTTTAAACGCTTCCTTTCCACTGGCTCCTTCTCTGCAGTCTATAAATGTGCTCACCATTCCCTCTCAGCTAGGGAAGCCTCCGCCCTCTCTCCTCTTGAGCTTCCAACCTTCCCTTTCCATACCTTACCTTCCAAACTTCTCCCTTCGCCATCACTTCCCCATGTACTCCTGACTTTCCACTGGTTTGCATCAGGCATCTGCCTCTGCAGCTCTGCTGAAGCTGCTCTCCTACAAGCCACCAGTTCCCGAGTCCTGGATCATTTTCTCAGGCACTTTCTTGCCTGCACTGTTGGGTGCTGTTGACCACTTCTTCCTCTCCTCTCCCAGGGCTGTGCGACTCTGCTTTTGCCCAGCTGTCCTATCTTTTTCTTGTCTTTCACCAATTGTCCTATAGTTCACCTCTTGAATATTGATGATTTCTTGCATTCTGTTCTTAGCAATTTTTTTCTTTGCTCTGACTTCTCCTCCTGAGTGATTCCATTCATCCCCCTTCCTTCAGCAGTCACATCGGATCTTTTTTCTTTCTTATGCATTAGACCAGGGGTCAACACACAGCTTGCTGACTGTTTTTGCAAAAAAAAAAAAGGTTATTGGAACACAGCCACGCCTATGTGTTTACATATTGTCCGTGGCTGATTTCACGCTACAAAGGCAAAGTTGAGTAGTTGCGGCAGGGACCATATGGCCTCGAAACACTGAAATATTTACTCTCTGTCCCTTTACAGAAAAGTTTGCTGACCCCTGCTTCAGGCCCATATATCCAACTGCTTAGTGGACATCAGTGCCTGAATTTTCTAGAATGTCTGTCTCCCCCAATGCTCATGTTTTTTCCCCCTTCTGTGAATTATCATTCACCCAGGAACCACACTCATTCCAGGTGGCATGTGTGACTCCACTTCCTACCCATCTCACACATCCTGTGTGCTGCTGCCAGATGATAGGTGACCTCCATAACACTCAGCTGTTCACACGCTGTCTGCCATTCGTTGGGAAGCATTATGGGCCAGGCAGCATCTAAGATGCTTCACGTGCACTATCTGCTTTCGTCCCCACAACTACCTGATGGGGAAAGGGTTAGTATCTTGAGTTTGCTGATGTGAACAGCTGAGGCCCAGAGACTCAGTAGTTTGTTTGGTTTCAGACCTGGGTTGGTCAGAAGGCTTCGGTGGGTAGACACCTGGTGTCCAAACAGTGTCCTCCCTGTCTGCTTCTCCAGTTCAAGTCTTCCATATGAGCTTCCTGCGGGTGATTCTCATCCCTCAGACACAGAGTGTGCCGGTCCACTCCCACACCCATGCCTGTGGAGGGCTTCCCTCCTGACACACCCTCTCCCTCCCCTGAGCTGGTCTAGGTGTCACTCTGCCTTCAAGTCACATTTCAGGTGAAACTCTCACTGGCTGCTCAGTTTGCCTCTTCCTCCTCCTTGAGACATCTCTGATGTTCCTTGTCTCTCTCATTCCTTTAACACTTAATAGGATCGTCGTTATTCTGTTGCACATATTATATATTCATTCATGTCCTCTCTTCCCAAGTAGGTTGTTTGCCTCTTATGGGCAGGCATCGTGTCTTATGTCCCGCGGTATCCTTGGGGCCCAGGATGTTGTAGTTTTGCTAATAGTTAAGAACCTTCATGCATGGGGATAAACAGTCCCCATTTGGACTGCTGACCCAGGTTTAATTTGCTGCTTCTGCTGCTCTGCTCTGATCCAAATGTCCTGCCTCTACTTCTCCTTGGAAACCTTTCCTGAGCCAAAATTAGATACCTTCTTTCTAGATGTGTATCTCTGTAAAATGAGTCACATGAAGTCCCCCACACAAAATCAATTCTTTTTATATTAAACTAATATAGACTTTAACTTGCCCATGAGCCTCACTTTGAAGCAAGAGCTGAGCCCCTCTTAGACTTGGGTTAGTAAGTCATGTTCAAAACACTCTTCAGGCTGAGAGCAATGGCACCCTACTCCTTGCCTAGAATTCTCTTCTGGAAAAGCTTTGAGGGGCCAGCCCCGTGGCCAAGTGGTTATGTTCATGTGCTCCGCTTGGGCGGCCTAGGGTTTCACCAGTTTGAATCCTGGGTGATGACATGGCACTGCTCATCAAGCCATGCTGAGGTGGTGTCCCACAGGCCACAACTAGAAGGACCCACAACTAAAAATATACAACTATGTACTGGGGGGCTTTGGGGAGAAAGAGGAAAAATAAAATCTTAAAAAAAAAAGCTTTGAAACCTACTTCATTTTCCTCTGAATGAATTTGCCCCGTTCATTCTGCTGCTCATCTACTGGATGTCTCTGCCATTGCTTATGATGCATTTTAAGCAGAAAAGATGGCTGCAGTCCGTGAGAGTCCAATGAATACTTACAAGCTAAGTGATATTTGTTTGTTACTCATGGAGAACCAGGAATCCAACCCAACTAAAAGAAATTATCAGCCTGGTTGGGTCATTCTAGAAGGATCTGGCCAGTTGGCCGAAACAGCTGAGGATTTCCTGCCAGAGAAGTTTCTTAGCAGCAGCTTGTCTTTGGGAAAGAGGCTCCACAAGGGTCTTATTTTGTTCTCCTTCACTGACCCTGTTTCTTCTCTCTTCCCAGCTGCTTGAAGTAACTTGATCACATTACACATTCCCAGGCTTCGATCCCTCGGGTAACTTATTACTGAGTGTCCTTCCAGATTTGGATATTCATGTTAACATTGTCATCTTCAGACATTGTGTTTGTTGGTTTTATAAAGGAGATGTGCTTTTTAAGGAAATTCAAAGATAAAGAGGGCTTTACAACTTATTATTATTGGACTCTCTTCTCTGTGAGGAAAAGGCTTTCTGCATTAAAGGGTTCATCCCACTGGCCAAAATGACCCTTTGAGGCACCCTTCATGGAGACAGTCTGTCAGATTCTGATTCTCTGGGGAGTGGACCAGTAGTTGGGTGTCTCTGGCTGTCGTACGTGAACAAGATTGCTGCTCACTAACACAAAAATGTGTTTGTTCACCATCAGCAGAACTAATGATGCAAACAGGAAATAGCTTGCAGATGGCCGTACTCACCTATAAGTTCCAGGAAAACGGAAATTGCATTTGCACAGGAATGAATCATCACATTCATGCCCCATGTTCTGAGCCACCCTCTTGTTCCCCATCCCATGCCTGCCTTTTTTGCCTTTGCTATTCTTGGAAGCAGAGGTATTTCTCCCATCTCACTTCAGGCTCCTTCCAATGAGGTTTCGCCTCCTTTTCCCTTCCTTCTTCTCCTTCTCTTTTAAAACTTATGTTGTGAGGAGTGCTGTGCATCTCATGGACACACAAGAGTCAGACAAAAGTTGAGAGAATCAGGCCGTCCGTGTCTGTCTGTTTGAATAAGTTCTTGTTCAAAGTGTCTGCAGACTGTTGGCTGGGGATCTCAGCCCAAAGCAGCTCCCTTCTCCGATACTAGAACATTCAAAGCCTCAGCATCCAATCGATTCCCCCTGGCCCCTTTCATGGTGTGAATTCCATCATCTGGAGGGAGGCCACCTAGAATCGCTCTGGCCCACTGCCTGGTGCTGGGGGCAGCCAGAAATACAGTTACCGTCTCGTACGTACCTTCTAGTCAGTTCGTCGAATACATTTTTCTGTGTAAAGTTACTATTGACTTCAGAGAAATACTGTTTATTAAATTGTCGCTAAAATCGGAATTGTGGCATTTCTGTGGTTCTAAAATTAGGTGTTCTAAGTATACATGGTATTACTTTTCTTTTTCAACAACAGATTTTTCTCTAATTTTTTGTGTTTTTCTTTCTCTCCTTCCAGTCCTTAAAGAAGCTCAACCATGCCAATGTAGTAAAATTAAAAGAAGTTATCAGGGAAAATGATCATCTTTATTTTATCTTTGAGTACATGAAGGAGAATCTTTACCAGCTCATTAAAGAAAGGTACAGTTTGGTCATCATGATCTTAGAAATAAATGTTGCAGTGTGGCTGCGTCTCCTCTCTGCTTTTGGGTAGGCTCCACTGTTGAAAGCTGCCCATAAGATGAGGGGCCAACCCGCCTTCCTACTTTGCAGGCTTGTAATAGCTTCATAGAAGCTGCTTTCAATGCACCCTTTTTCATGTTTTAATGGGTTATTCTTCCAAACGAGCTCAGAGATTTGACAGATACTCTGCAGCTCTCCGTTCCCATGAGAACGTATGGGAAGAGCAACTCCAAGTCAGGGGTGTAACAGCTTCATTCATTTTGAGACCGCCATTGAAAATTTCTGGGTTTATTTCAGTTCCTTTCTTGCTACCTTGCTCAGGGGTCTGCATGCTGGGAAGAAGAGACTGATAAAAAACTTAACCTGCTGTGGCCATTTTGAACTTTAAAAGTGAGCCGTGTGGAACCTCTTGGGCACCTTTTCTTGGTGGCAGACGAATGCCATTCACAGCATCCCTCTAGGTGATTTTAGTGAGCAGTTATCATCTTCATTGTCAATAACAGCTGTGAAGCTGTGTGGTTTGCCCATCCAACAGGAAATGTCACTGTCCGTTGGTTGCATCTCCAAGGTCCCTCCTCTGGAAGACCTCAAATTTTCCCCAGTGAAACTTTTTGAAGTTCTAGTTTATATTATGGAGAGAGGAGATTTTTATATGATATAGTGGATGGAATTTATTCTTTTTTGTTTTGTTATAAAGTGTTTAATCTTTTCTTCTTTGTATCATAACTGAATATATTTGGTATTTATAAGGTAAGCTCTCTTGTACGGATAAATGGTTGTTTTTCTTTGGTCTTTATTATCAAAGGATCTAGTTAAATTAGCAGGAAAGCAAATGTTTTCTTAAATTCTTACTATATAAATCAAAAGCACATGAAAATGGAATTCATTTTCATATGTAAATCTAGATTTATAACTTTTTTTCCTCTGCCCCATGCAGAAATAAGTTGTTTCCTGAGTCTGCTATAAGGAATATCATGTATCAGATATTGCAAGGACTTGCATTCATTCACAAACATGGTAAGTGATGTGGAGTTTATGCTTTTCAATAGCAGTGACAGGTGTCATCAGGTAGATGTGGGAAGCATCTTTTGTAATTGACTCCCAGAAAAGGTTGAAGAGAGGCTGACAGTGAATTTAGGAATATGTTATCCTCTGTAACTTGATTTCTGAATTTCCCTCGTTGTTTATCATATCTGCGTCTTCTTCCTCTTTAGGCTTTAACATTAAGCTTGTTAGTTATGGATCTAAGAATGACTCCTGACCCTTAACTGGTGTATTAATGAGAAACCTAAGATTAGAATTCAGAGAAGTTTCACATATTATGTTTAACCCACTAAGTGACGCTGCTTTGCTGTGACTTCTCATTTTCCTAATGTATTTATATTTCAGTTTGTTCAAAAGGGTTCAAAAATGATCTAACAATATTTATGCAACACAGGAAAATAAAATAAATTGAAAATAAGCAAAGAAAAAGGCAAAGCCAAACAAGGCATGGATATAGCCAGGGGTGAGGTCCATCCGTAAAGGGCACATCGGCAAGTTTTATTTAAGTGGAAGAACCAGGCAGAGACGTGATTCTGAGCTTGTGTCAGACAGTGCAAAACGTGAAACCTGAGCACTTACAACCTGCATAGTTTCCCCGAGGTAAAAACAGACCAGCTGCCCAAGCGAAGCACAGCTCTTCCTGCTGCTGAGACCAGAGAGGTTTCTTTCCTGGATCCTTGTAGAGGGGACAGTATATAACAGGACTGCACGGTAAACACAGTAACAGGTTACACAGGGCAGTTCCGTGTCGTGTCGCTCACTGTAGGCCAGTTACATCGCCTGATCAGAGAAAACAGTTCTACTGGGGCCCAGTGTGATTCACTCTAGGGGTGATTTATTTGGTTGGTCCAAGGAGAGATTTAGACAATCCAGAGGATGACCATGTGCCCTTCAGGAAATCCTCCATCAGTATCGTTCTCCTTAGCTGAGCTTTTGAAAGATATTGAGTAACAATGAATTTGAGGTTATATTTTCTAGCAGTTATCTTGGGCATTACTAGTCTTTGTTGCTAATGGGATGCAGACGCAGCTAGGGTTGGATCCTACCTCCTTGTGAACACACAGCCACGGGATGGACGTGTCCACCTGTGGAGCCAGGGGTGCCCTCAGGAGGTCATTTGAGGCCACTTTAACACACAGACAAATGGGCAAAGTGGCTGATCTTGCACAGGCAGAAATCCTTTCATCCCTAGTCTAAGGGTATCATGGCCATTGCAAACATTGCACCAATGAATGAGTTCGTTATCCAATAAGGAAACTGAGTGGAAGCCCTTTGATAATACAGTCAGTTCAGATTGGACACAAATTGGCAGTGAGTAGAAAAGACATTGTGCCACAGTTGGTGGCACAGTACACCTGGGGCCATTCCCAGCCTGCCCTTTAATTCCTGAGCAGCCCCTCACAGGTAGACTAAATGAAACGCAACTAACAGACCGACAAGGGCTCTCTGTGCAGGTCCGTGGCAGCCTCAGGCATGTGCTGCATAAGCAGCAAGTAATATGCAAGACTGAGTCATTTGTGAACCAATTCCAGTAAAAAGATTTTAGTCAAAGTTATCTCTGATTCCACTGACATGGAGACAACCAGCACTTTAGCTTGTATTCACGAGAATTCACAAGGGATGGCATGAGTTTGCAAAACACTGAAAACTTCCGGTGTCTTAGGGACAAACAGGAAGAGAAGGATCATGTACTAGATTTAAGAGCCCAGGAAAAAGAAATGATGAGAAATCAAAGGGATTCTCAACCGAGAAGGGTCAACCAGAAGGTTTTCAGATGGGGGCCAGTGTTCGCATCTCAGTTAATGGAGCTCTCTCAGTACTGGAAAGTGAGCAGTGGACCTGTGAGAAAGTTAGTGTTCTTTAGCATTCTCTTCTTTTCCTTTTTGTGGCTTTTCATGAAACTCAGATATTTGTTGCCAGAAAGAACTTGTGGCCTTTTATCCAGGTCTCTCCCTAATCCTATTATATGAATACACATACATGTGCATACACATGCACACACCTGCATGTACACATACCCACATGCACGTGTACCTACACATACACTCCTCCCCCCACACACAGGCACACACCCACACCCACAAATGCACATGTGTGTGCATACACACAATACCTGTTTGTATCTAATAATTTAGTATCCGTATATTGTTGTGTCAGAACAGCTCTTCGGAACTCTGCACTGTCTGTTTCCCTCACATGCCTTACACACTCGGATTGTGTGTGGAAACACTGCAAGGGAAGGCTCAGTATGTGGAGAAGCTCAGACCCTCTTTGCTTTTATAACCCCAGCACCATCGCTATTGCCAGAGATTCTTCTTGACGTTTTTCCCAGCTGTTAAGTGCCCAGTTCTAGTTTGAGCTTCATAAGGTTTCTTCTGTCACTTTATTTCTTTCCTTGCCAACTTCTCAGGTAGAAAGGACAGATGGTATCTGTTCCTTTCAAAGAGGAAACTAGGGTTCAGAGAGGTTTAGAGACCTGCCAAAGGCCCCACTACAGTAAAGTGGTAAAGTGGAACTTAGCTCAGGTTTTCTGTGCCCATTTGTCACTCTTTGCTGGGAAAACCTGTCTGTTCTCAAAGAGCACAGAGAATAAGAGCTGAAGAAAAGAGCGATAATAATGAGGTGTGATGGATATTAATTTTGCAGGTCCTATCTCATTTTCATTGATAAATGATTTTTGGAAACTTTTTAATGGTTTTCATAGGCTTGACCTTGGTTAAGTGCACATGCGGCTCCATACGTTCCTTTCCTCCAGTAATGGAAGAAAGCTAAAGCACTTCCCAGATGTGTCTTGTGCATTTCAGGCTCTTCCTGTTAGCTGGCTGTCACTGTGAGGAGGTGCTTTTTGTCCCCGGGGAGCAGACTCCTTTGAGAGGGGAGAAGAGCGCTGGAGGTAGTTGCCATGGCCGTAGTTCGTGTCACTGAGTACTTTCCCCCACAGGGAATGAAAATACGGCTCCAGTTGGTGCTGATTGAGCCATGCCAAAGCATATGTACTTTGCAGGAATTAAACAATTAATACAAACCGTGTTTCATCCTTGACCTGCCCTTACCAACATCCAGGTCGTGCTTAGCGGTGCAGGTAACGAGAAATGCCGTCAGTGGCTTGGAGGACAATGCTTTGGCCCCAGAGGTGGTTCTCTGGTTCTCTGCTTCCCCGCTGTCTTGCTCTGCATGACCTTGAGTCAGCCCTTGGCCTTTCTGTGTGTTGCTGTCCTCATGGCCTTCGTGATGAAAACATTGTAGGTTAAAATTCAGTAATGTTTGTAGAATTACGACTTCCATAGCAGGAAGGTATGCTACATAAATTCATAGTGGCTACATAAATTCAAGTTTAAGTATTCTGTGGTTATTTCTATATATTCATATCAGGTTCATCATTAACAGAATGTGGTGGAGGGAAGAAAGCCTTCTTTGTGGCTTGATGTTTTCCTTGCCCCAGGGTTGTTAATGAGAAGTAAGCACAACACATTTTCTGCCTGGATGAAAGAGAAAATCCCTCTGTTATTTGACTGGCTGGGGTACCCTGAAATTAAATTGAAAGTCTGTTCCTGTATTCTGAAAGCCAAACAGTTTTGAACAGGAAGATTCTTATCAACGGTACTTTGCTGTTGCATGATCTCTGAATGACCCAGCTGTGAGGGTTTCCATTGTGAATCGGAAGCCCAGAGGAAGAAACGGGCTCATTGTTAGAAGCCCGGGTGCACACAGCAGAGCTCGAACCCAGCCAGGAATCGAAGCAGAGCTTAGCACGTCCTCCGCACAGGTGGTGGAGCACATCACTAGCCTTGTGAGTCTGAATTCTTATCTGCACAGAATGGAGCCGTGTCTGCCTGCCCCCTTTACCAGGTTGTGGGGAAGATGAAATGAGAGGATTCGTGTTGCTAATAATGACAAGCTCTCGCAAGGTGCCGACGCCAGGCACTGCTCTAAACACTTTACAAATATTAACAAATATTGAATCCTGCAAAACCACACCACGAGGTAGATTCTGTTTTATCTCCATTTTGCGGATGAGGAAAGGGAGGCACAGAGAGGTTAAGTAATTTACCAGTCAGTGAACAGAACTGGGGTTTGAAACTGGGTCACTTGATTGGTCTGCACACTTGACCACAATGCAGTCTTGCCTCTCATATAGAAACAGTAATGTGTTGTTAAATAGGGATGAAAAGTCGATGTACATGACAAGACGGTCTTATACTTTTAATTACCAAGAACTCATGGGTATAAGACTAATAATAGCTGTTGCTATTATTCAGTAATGAGAAGGACAGAGGGCTGGGTGTCCTACAGGCATATTCATGCATGCTTCCTGGTTATAAAGGCTTATACTCGAGTACAGTCTAACAGACAACATATGTCGAGTGACAAATACAGTTTGCATTACTCATTTTTAAGAGTCTGTTTGCAATTAATTTTTTTCCCTAGCCATTTTCCCTCTGGTAGTTTATTTTGGGCCTGAAGTATGATCCCTAGAAAGGAAAGCCGCCTACAGGGATCCATGAGGAACCAGAATCTTCATTCTCCTCATTTCGTTAGAGCACTTGTTCTCTGTGGAAGTAGGATTACAGACAAGTTAGCAGCTAAGGAAAGAACAAAGCTTGACCGACGGGAGGAGTGATTGCTGTTTATGGGAGCATGACCCAGTGGAAGCAAGGCACAAGGTCTGGAGCACAAGACGGATACTTGTATCTGATCTGTTAGGATGACCTGAATGGAGGAGGATGCAGGTTTGTTGAGGCAGGTGTTGTAGATGGTGGCAGAGGTAGTTGCAATGGGGTTTGGGGGCTGGAGGACAAATGATTGATTCATTATAAGAGAAATACTACATACATTTAGAAATAATAATTTGGCCCAACTAGAGGAGAAAAAGGAAGTCCAAGAGGAGAAACAGCGATAGTCTGGACTTGAGAGGACCAGAACCACAAATCAAGATTTAGTCATATGGATTGAGAGGGACAGAGGACAGGTCCGTAGTACAACAGCTCAGATGCATCTCTTGGTAGGATTGTGAATAACTCAGCCCTCTCCTTGCTTTTCCCATCTGTTCAGTAAGAAAATGATGGCTGCCATTCCTTTATCACTGGGACGTTTTTAATGCCCTGAGCTTTTAGGAAGAGAGACCACGGTCTCACAGTTCATATATTCTCAGGGGCCACAGGAGTCATCCTGGATGCCCTGAAGATACAACACTCTCTAATAACTGCTTGTGTATTTACACATTCTTAAGTCAATTCCTAGATGGGCACATACAGTCAGGCTTTCTGGGAGCTGGACGGTGTTCTGAAGAACAGAGCGTCCAAACATGATGACGCAGTAATGCCAAGTCTTAGAACAGACATTGCCCACTCTGGTGGGCGTCGATAATCTCTGTTTAATTAGGATGATGATAAGCCATCCAAACTTGTCCCCATCAGACATTCTTTTCTTTCATTTTAAAGGCCATTCTTGACTAATACTGAATTACTGTTTGAATTTGTTGAATTGACAACCTCAAGTTTGGTTCTTACTATAGTTTATAATTTAGTAAATAATAGAGTAAATATATAATTTACTATAATTTAATTTATTGTGAATTTGGTTAGGATACTTAAGGAATTGGTATGAGGAAGACCATTAGGTATATATTGGTACAGTGGCAGGGTAAAGAATGATCAATGGAATATATACATATTTTTTCTTCCCACACCCACATGTACATACAAACACTCATACATGTACGTACACATACAGACACATAGCTACATATACATATGCTATACAAATAGAAAACTTGCTGTGCCTGTCTCTGGTCTAACCCAGGTCTGACTCGTTTAATCTTCTCAATCCCTCAGTTTATGGAAAATAGAAGCAGCGTGTTGGTGGGGAGGAAGGACTTCCCTTCTCACTGTGGCCCTCTTGAATGTATGTGATCATGTCTGTACCTTCTATGTGTGCGGGCTTCTAGGCTCTGTAGTTATCTTCACTTTGTCCATCTTAGCCAGCCGTTCACCTTGCTGACCCATCATTTTGCCATAATATTCTCCATTTAGAACCTCATCCAGTAGCAAGCCCTGGTGTCTTCAGAATGATGGACAGAAAGGAGTGTCCTTTTATTAAAACTCTTGCTTTCCACCATACACGACATCTAGTGCATTTTCACATATGACCACGTCACAGCCACCCTCCTGTTCCTCTAGAGCAGACACAGTTTTTGGAAAATACCCTTGACCAGTAGATTTAGTCCTGCTGGGACTCCCTCTGTGAAGAGGACTTCCCGCACTGAGCCCTCAGTGTCTCCCACGCTGCTTCAGGGTTGTTGCTCGTCTTTCTCAGTTCTCAGTTGCTGTCTTGTGAGGCTTCCTTCCTCCTGCCCTCCCAATAGCCCTAGTCTGCTCTCTATTGCCCCTGCCTCCTTGGCCCAGGTAGATTTATCACCTTCATGTTCTCTACAAACCTATTCAAGTCCTTTGTTCAATCACCAAGAATATATTATGAGGCCACCATGCTCCTGCCACTGTGCTAGGCGTTCAGAAGAAATATGAATGTGGCGTCTGCATTCAAAGTGTTCCATCTAATTAGTGAGAGATTGTTAGCATACCTGACAATGACAGGGCTCTGTTCAGTTCAGAGGACGTGTTAGGTCCACCGGGCCAGACCTATGCCCGTTTGGGTTGCTTCTGAATCCACAGAGCCTAACCCAGTGCCTGGCGTGGAATGGGCCCTCAGTGAATATTTATTGGTAGAAGGAAGGAGGGCAGGCAGGAAGGAGGAAAGAAAGGAAGGAAGAAGGCTAGCATCTTAGGATGTCTTCATGCAGGAAGGGAAACTCAAAACAGGTCTTGGAAGATAACAAAGATTAGAGTAGATATAGACGAAAAGGAACAAGAGTACAACATTGTTATTGGGAATAAATACAATGAACCTAAAGAAAATGAGGAATTTTAACTGATTAGAACACACTTTACACATATTGATGGTAAGTATTGGAAAATAATTTTCTCTCTTCAGGTAGACTGAAAGGAGTTCAGGCTTGTTAAATAATTTAAAAAGGAGCCATGGAAATTTGTGTGTGTGTGTGTGTATGGGACACTGACAAGACAAAGATAGTGTTTAAATTATCAGGATATGTGAGAATCCAGAGAAGCTGGAGTGAGAAAGTCCTGCTGGAAAGTGGCAGTTCAGGGATAGACAATGAGAGTGAGGATTTGGGAGGGGGAAGTGGGAAAGGGCAGAGGGGCAGATATGAGATATTTTGATGAAAAATGTGACACCATTCCATGACTGTCTGGGGAAGGATGGATCCAACATAACTACAAGGCACCCGTGTCTCTTCTCACAGGTTTGAGAAGGAGAGATGATTTGGGAGAGGAGAAAAGTGGCTTGGGACAGGTTGATGTGGGGATGACAGTGACATCCAGCTGCCACCCTATGAGAGACATAGTTCTAGCGAAGAGTGGAGAAGGCACGTCAGAGGTGTGGATTAGAGCGTTATCAGCAAAGAAGTTGTCGAGGAATAGTGTAGATCTTCAGTGACGGCTGTGAATTTCTCCCATAATGTGCTGGTTAAAATCCAACTTTCACAACATTGGTAATGAGAGCAGATAACAAATATCACCAGCAGCAGCATTAACAGAGTTCATTTACAGTTTTGGTGTCCCACTGAGATCTAGAGTCGTGGGGAATGATGCCTGTGTCAGTGATCCCCCCCACAAGTGGAAGGGTTCAAGTTTTCAGAGGCATACATTGCTGGTCAGTGGGCGTTTGAGTGCACCCAGAAGGTTGGCGTGTTGACTCCTGCGTGCACCCCCACAGCTCTGCGGTAGCTGAGTCAGGCCTCCCATTTGACGAGTTATCTTTGTGCTTCACACTGTGAGCGGCAGATGTTCCTCTGTGCTTCATTAGGCACAGTAATAAGTATTTAACATCTAAACGTTTGTTGCAACACACACCAGAATCTCAGATATAAGTAGGTCATATTCGTAAATCCCTTGTCTCTTAAACAAAAACTTGTCGTTGTGTTTCTGCTGTGGTATAAACTCTCAGTACCCATAAGACTTGTCTTTTGAAATGGTTTTAGTTTCAAATTCTTTCTGGCTGACTGGGGCAGGGTAGGCATGATATTTTTTCCTTGAGTGACAGTTTCTTTTTGCAAAGTCATCTCGGCCCATAACTGAGTTTTAATGTTTTAAAAGAAGTTTTCTCTCTTGGGAAAAAAATATGAAGATCAACTTTTGAATGATTTTCCATTTTGAATTCATCAAGGGGAAATGAATGAAGTCCTTTGAGAGGTCCAAAGGACTCTACTTTATCAGTGGGATGAATGTATAGAGCCTTCAGTGTCATACCAGACTACTTTTCAAATTATAGCTGTTATGGAAAGAGCAATGCAGCTGCAAAGAGGAATGCAGAAGCAGGCTTGCATTCGGATTCCTTCTCCACTGCCTCCACAGGCTTCTTCCATCGGGACTTAAAGCCTGAGAACCTCCTCTGCATGGGACCAGAGCTGGTGAAAATTGCAGACTTTGGACTTGCCCGAGAAATCCGATCGAGACCTCCGTACACAGACTATGTATCCACCAGATGGTGAATACCATTTTCCTCAAAGTTATCTAATTGTGCTTCTTTAAAAAGATACCATTATACTGAGGACAATATTAACGTTACAAATATTAACTTTTTACTAAGAGGAACAGTGCAGTTTAAAGCATGTACTTGTCGGTATGTTGGCATTGTACAAGGTTTAAAAGTTGGTGTTGTAAATAATTTTAAAAGGAAGTCCAGAGCTGGCCCTGATGGCCTAGTGGTAAAAGTTTGGTGCTCTCCACTTCGGTGGCCTGGGTTTGCTTCCCGGTCACAGGACCACACCACCCGTCTGTCAGTTGCCATGCTGTGGTGGTGGCTCACATAGAAGAGCTAGAAGGACTTACAGCTAGAATATACAATGGTACACTGGGGCTTTGGGGAGGGAAAAAAAAAGGAGGAAGATTGGCCACAGACGTTAGCTCAAGGAAAATCTTTTCCTGCCAAAAAAAAAAGGAAGTCCGTTATGCTTTTCCATAATATAAATAATATTTGGCATTTAGACTTTCCTGAAGACCATTTCCTAAAAGAGTTGTGTACAAGATTCTCCAAAGTCCTGGCTGAAAAAAACAGCTAATTGCTGTTGGTAAAACTTTCAGACCCTAAGAATTTGACTCATGCAGTTGGCCGTGACCAAGAAGTTGCCTACAGACAACAAGCTTTATGTACTCTCTCTCCCCATTTTCCCCTTCTCTCTCACTCTCTTTTCCTAACTCTCACTCCCTGTGTTTCTCAAAGATGCTGTAGAGAAGAGTCCTGTAGAGGAACGCTCAATAGAAATACCCTGAAGTGGAGAAGCGCTGCTTTACGACAGCAGCCACTGCAGTTGCCAGGGCTTCAGGAGTCCCCGTACCACACTGAGCTAGACAGAAAATAGAAATACGTAAACTCTCGCAGTGAGAATGGTTTACATATTTGCTTTGCTCCTGACCGGTGGATGCAGTAACTAGCAGCTCACCTTTGTCCCTCCAGGTATAGGGCTCCAGAAGTGCTCCTGAGGTCCACCAACTACAGCTCCCCCATTGACATCTGGGCCGTGGGCTGCATCATGGCCGAAGTGTACACCCTCAGGCCGCTCTTTCCTGGCGCCAGTGAAATTGACACCATCTTCAAAATTTGCCAGGTGTTGGGGACACCGAAAAAGGTAACGACACGGAACAAAGGCCTGTGGGCCGAAGCTGGCAGCTTCCTGTGCTCCCTCTCCTCCCTCCTGTGCCGCACTGCATGCTGGTCACCTGCCATTCTGGAATCTTTCTGGAATCCTCCATTGCCCACATTCGCAGCCATGGCCGCTTCACTCCTTCCTTCTGCTCTTAAGTGGAAGACATATTTGTCACAGCCCCCTCTGCTTTTGTCTCTACCTCATCCCACCTCCCTTGAGAGCTTCTCTGTTCTCATGGGTACAACCCTTATATGTATTCACAAGTGTCCTGACTGTCAGCTGTAGCCCTCACCACCCTCGCCTTTATTACTCCAGTCACATATTGACAGCTATCTGTGAGATTTTCTCCAGACCCCACCCTCATCACCTCAGACTCATGGTTGCTTTTTGTTTCCCCCGCAGCTCACTTCCTTCTTTCATTGCCCGTTTCTGTGGTCCTGTGGTAATCCGGAGCCCCAGCCTGAGGCTGAGTTCCAGTTTCACCTTCTCTCTTCCCCTCACTCCCCTTCCCCCCCGACCAAGCAGCTGGCCCGTAGATGCTGTTGAATATCGCAATGTGGTGTCTGTCACCGGTGCCGTCAGACTCCATCACAGACTGGGCCTGATCGCCCTGCTGTGTCTGGGGGTGTCTTCTCAGTCTTTCTGCCTTCAAGTCTTTTCCCTCCAGCTTATCTTTCACTCTGCGGCCAGATCCATCGTCCTAAAGAACAGATCTGGTACGGTCCTCCCCTCCTAAAATATTCGCTGACTCCCCATCGCCCAGCCCCCTCAATCCTCCTCTTTGTCCTTGCACCCCTCCTGGCTGTGTGCCCTGAACTGTCCCTTCTTCTGTGCTTTGCGTATACACACTGTGCCGCAGTGACAGTCCCTCACATGCCCAAATCCTGCTCCCTTCTGAGGCCCCTCGGGAATCTTTCTCCTCACCCATCCTGTAATCTCCTCTCCATCTTCAGCTATGATCTGTGTTATTAATATAATTATATGTGTACATATCTGTTTCTTGGACCATAAACTCACTCGGTGCAAGGATTTGTCTTATGTTTATTTGTGTTTATTTCCAGGTCCTAGCACCATTGCTGGTACAAACCAGACCCTCAAAATGTTTTTAAATCATTTGAATGAATCTTTAATGCCACTTCTTCAAGAAGATTTCCATAATTCTCTGCTGGAATCTCTCCCTTCTCTGGATAAGTGTGTCTCTCTCTCTCTTGTGACCTTTGTTATTTTTTATTCTGTATTATTGTGTTTTTAAATAAATGTCTTATTTTCTCTTTTGGACAGTAATGTCGTTAAGGGCGGGATTCATACTGGATTGTCTTTGGATCCCTAACACGCTAAGCATATAGTAGGAAGTCTGTAACTAAGCGAATGAATGATGTCAGCTATGTACCTGCTGCTTCACTTTAAAAACATAGAAAGCAATTACATCAGAATATGTCTTGTAAAATAGTGGTATGTTGGAACCAGAAGGGACCTTAAAGACTATTTGTTCATCATTTTTCACTCACTCCAGCTTTTGGGTTCCGTGGGCATCATGCATGGAAAGCGGAGAGCTGAGACTGGGTGGAACAGCTTTCTTTACTGCTGCACTTCTCAGCATGTGTATTTTGAATCAAGACGGGGACAAAGTAGGGGCTGGCCTGGTGGTGTGATGGTTAAGTTCACACACTCCACTTTGGTGGCCTGGGGTTTGTGTATTCAGATCCCAGGTCTGGACCTACACACTACTCATCAAGCCATGGTGGGGCAGCATTCCACTTAACGAAATAGAGGAAGATTGGCACAGTTCTTAGCTCAGGGACAATCTTCCTTAAGCGAAAAGAGCAAGATTGGCAACAGATGTTAGCTCAGGGCCAATCCTCCTCACCAAAAATAAAGAAGAAGAAGAAGAAGAAGAAGAAGAAGAAGAAGAAGTTGGTGACAACGTAATATGTAGGGTCTCACAAATTTCTTTGACTGGGAGCAAGGTGTTTTGTTTTATTTTTTTCCCCCAAAAAATATCTCATTAGCAGTTTCTAAAACCTCTGTCTCACGGAACCCAATTGGGAAGATACTAATTTTGTTCAACTCCCAAATCTCAAGAGATTAACTATCTTGTGTTTAGGTTGTAAAACAAGTTGGTGGCAAATCCATTGTCTTCTCCACTGTTCCCCAGATTTCATGTTCTTTGTAGTCTTTCCATTAGTGTCCTCCTACGTTTCATCACTCATGGTGCCACCGTAGTCAATACGGGCATGGTAGTGACGTGATTGCCTTTCCATTGTGGGCACAGGTGCCAGCATATAAACTCCTATCACAGTGATGGGCTGAGCACGATTTTCTCCGTTTTCCTTCTTTCAGACTGACTGGCCTGAAGGCTACCAACTTTCAAGTGCAATGAACTTCCGCTGGCCCCAGTGTGTACCCAATAACTTAAAGACCCTGATTCCAAACGCTAGCAGCGAAGCAATTCAGCTCCTCAGAGACATGCTCCAGTGGGACCCCAAGAAGCGGCCAACCGCCAGTCAGGTTTTCTTCCACTTTCTTCTCTTGATGCATTTCTTATGAAGTTCATCTCTGACTCTGAATAATTCCTTTAAGTCTCACAGGAAGTATTTTATTTGGTATTATGGGTGAAAAATAATATTGACTACCACTAATGGTGAACTATAAAAGGTATAAGAACTTAAAATAGTTTGAAACTCACTGTGTATCGTTAAAGTAGTTCAGATTTACACAATATAGTCACTTTGAAAATTGGCATATGCTTCATGTGCTATATCACCACCTGTGTGGAAATGAAAACAAACAGATATATCTACCTGCCTTTGGAGAATGTTTTCAGAAACATTCTCTTTGAGTTAAGATTATGAAGCAGTTTGTTTATAAGGCTGTACTGGTGTTGAAAGGCAATTTGAAAATACCTTGTTAAATCCAATTTACTCATCTTACAGATGACAGAGAGTGACAGATGAGAGAGCTAGCATAATAACTGTAATTAGCATTTTATAGCACTTTACAGTTTGCAAATGCTTTAGTATGTTTTTATGTGATTTTAACCCCACGAAGACTCCGTGAGATAGTGTTATTGTTTTCATTTCATAAATGAGGAAACGGAATCTCAGCAAGTTTAAGTGATTTGCCTTAATCACTTATCCAGTGACTAGTAAAGAGAGTGCAAAGCAGCGCAGTTCATTCACGTGGGTGGCAGGTCCTCTGACTCCATACCTCCTGTTTTCTTAAGCTGCCTCCCCCGGGCCACTTTGACTTAGATTATACAGTGCTCCCCAAAGCAGTGTGCTGGTGCCTCCTGCCAGCTGCCTTTTGCATTAGTTGTTTCTGGCACCTTCTCAGCTCATCTCATTGACAATTACATTGCTCAGAGGATCAAAAAGGTGACCAGTTCTAATCGGAGATAATAATTGGCTAAGGGAAAGTGACAGACATTTGAAGACAGTCCCGATGTGATGGTAAAATTTGTGAAGGCTGGAGAGATGACAGTTGGAGGAGTTAAGGAACTGTAGAAAAGCAGCTTTCCAAAGGTCCAAAGAAGGATGAGCCATAATTTGGTACCAGAAGACTGGGGATGGCTCAAGAGGATTGGAAAGCTCTCAGAAATGCACTTCTGGTGGTGAAGTTCACAAATGTCAGGGCAGGAAGGGAGCCTTCTCATGAACCCACTTTTTTAAAGGACACGCACAAGAGGTGAAAAGAAATAGATTCTGTAACAAGGAACCAAGAGAGGAATGTGTACTTTTAAGAATAGTGTCAGAAAAGCTAAAAACACCCCCAAATCAGTTGAGACTTGCAAAATGCCTAGGTCTACAGAGAGACTTTTCAGGTTAGACGTCAGGGTCGGCGACGTCTACAGGAGGAGCCACATTATTTGCCTCTGTGTCCACACTTACGTGTAATCATTACAGATGTTTATAGCTGTCCCAGAGTCATTAAGAAAGGTTAGGTTATATTCAACGACTTCTACTCAGAAAGACTAGGGAATTCAGGGAATATTTCGGGTAGAATTGTAAACTCCAGCACTTTAATATTTATCCCTGGGCTATCCAGAAAACTCGATTATCTTGATAGCAAGGCTTAACTATATCATGTATTACTCTCTCGGCATTTCTGGGGCAAAAGTGGATATATCTGCTTATTTTATGTCTGATTCTTCAGAGTCCTGGATCATTATGTTTGGCTCTCTCACTTTTCTAATGTTTTTTTCTTTCAGTTGAACAAAGAAATGAGCTTAGAAAGGTGAAATATGTTTTAAACACATAGCAAATAAGTTTCGAAGCCAGGATCTGTGTTGACCCTGAATACTTTTCAGAAGTGGCAAAAGTAACAGCAGTGTAACTGACTGCTTTATCCAAATAATTTTAAGTGTTGAAACCAGTACATTTATTTTGCAATATTTTAAATAAGGAAAATCACAAGGGGCGTTACAGCTCCAGGATGATGTTTTATAGTTGGTTTGGGCTAACGAACTGTAGTAAACTAGTCACGTGAAATCGCGCCCAGTGATCCTGAATGGTGTTAACCCTCCTGGCCAGATTCTTCTACTAAAGAAGCCTCATGTGTCATTCCAGGCGCTTCGCTATCCTTACTTCCAGATTGGGCACCCCTTGGGCAGCACCACACAGAGCCTTCAGGATTCAGGAAAACCACAGAAGGAAGTCCTGGAAAAGGCAGGCCCACCTCCTTACATGAAGCCTGTCCCTCCGGCCCAGCCCCCAAACAAGCCACACACGCGGATTTCTTCCAGGCAACATCAAGCCAGCCAGCCTCTTCAGCATGTCCTGTACCCCTACAAAGTCGAGGCTTCCAGGACAGATCACCCGAGCCATCTTCCGGAGGACAAGCCAAGCCCGTTGCTCTTCCCATCCCTGCACACCAAGAATCCTCAGGCAGTAAGCAGTAAAGATTTGCTCGTGAGCCTTGTGTCTGGCCTGTTGCTCTTCTGACCCAACTTATTGTGAGAAAGATTTTCTTTTTCAGCATAGAAGATCCAATTATAATAAATTTATCTTTGCAATATCATGGAATTATAAAAAGAGCCATGACTTTTAGAGTTAAAGGTCCAGATTCAAGTTCGGCCTCTGCCTGTTCATAACGGAGCCGTGCATGGGCGGCAGCTGTGGTGTGGCGGAGAGCTGGACGCAGCAGCCACATTGCCAGGGGCTCAAATCTCAGCTCTGCTATTGCATAGCTCGATGGCCCTGGGCTGGTCCCCCGGCCTCTCTGCTCCTTGTTTCCTCATCTGTAAAGTAGAGATAATAATAGCATCTACCTGGTGCAGTTCTTTTGAGGACAAAATGAGTTAATACTGGAAAGAATTTAGAACAGTACCTAGTTAGAACTCGATAAATGTCAGTCATTGTTATTATTAACGCCGGTGGACTCAGTTTCCTCATCTGAAAAGGAAAATCCTAATACCTGTCTGGCCCACCAGGAAGGGCTGTTCATGAGGATCCAAGGTCACAATCTTGTCAAGATGTTTTGAAAATCATAAAAGTGCCATACGAATATTTGTAGATTGTTGGTCCTATTAATGCCTTCAGGTGATGCTGTTAATTGAGCCCAGATCTTTCTTCTACTCTTGGGCTGGTGGTCAAAAGGAAACAATGAGTGTTCGTCAATAAAATGATAATCTGACAAGGGAATCTAGTTACCAATAGCTTTGTAACGCTGTCTCAAGAGCCCGATTTTCTAACACCTTTGTGCCAAAGTAATACTTTTTCTGTCAACTAGCGTTGACTCCCTGAGTGCTGGGCCCAAGTAGTACGATGTGAGATCCTGCACGAGGTCACACAGATGGCATCTCTAGACCGATCGCTTTGCCCCGGCCTGCAACTTAGAAGCACTGTGTGTTTAGAAATGTCCTCTTGTAGTAGTTAATTCTATGGTTAAGAGAGAGGGGTCAAGGTCTAGTGGGCAGGGAAGGCATTATTTGCATTGTTTTCTGTAAAGAAGCAGGATGCCTGACATCTTAGCTGTGTTCTCTTCTGTCTCTTATTTGTGACGGTATAAATCATGTAACTCTTTCAAGGCTGAGGCCTGAATGAGAATCCAGCCATCTTCCTAGTCTATAAGAAGTACCTCGAATTTCTTTTTTTTTTTTGGTGAGGAAGATTGTCCCTGAGTTAACATCTGTTGCCAATCTTCCTCTCTTTTTGCTTGAGGAAGATTGTTGCTGAGCTAACATCTGTGCCAATCTTCTTCTGTTTTATGTGGGCTGCTGCCACAGCATGGCTTGACAAGTGGTGCTAGGTCCGTGCCTGGGATCTGAACTTGCGAACCCTGGGCCACCAAAGCAGAGTGCACAAACTTAACCACTATGCCACCCAGCCGGCCCCTCAAATTTCTTTTTTAAAATCCTTGTCTTATACCCATTGGATGTAAACCGATGTAGTTTGTGCAGGACAGATGAGAGACAGGTCTGGGAATGTGTTTTCCACCGTTGCCCTTTCAGGTAACAGTGCATATTGGGGAATCATGTGCCCCAGGGTCCTCCTTTTCGTAACTGAGAAAGTTCAGAATGGGCCGTACTCGTGGGGAAGCTCCATTAATGCCAAGTGTTGCTTTTTCCCCCCTCTCCTTGTATACTCAGAAAATCCTCACTGGCCTGGAGCACAAAAATGGTGAGATCAAGCCAAAGAGTAGGAGGCGGTGGGGTCTCGTTTCCAGGTCCACAAAGGATTCTGATGATTGGGCCGACCTGGATGACTTGGACTTCAGTCCCTCCCTCACCAGGATTGACCTGAAAAACAAGAAAAGACAGAGTGATGAGACCCTCTGCAGGCAAGTGTGCGGCTCCTATCTCTAAATGGATGGATCTGGGCTTTGCGAGATGATCTTTCCTACCTGATGATGCTTTCTGGCTCGTGCTAACCTGAGCCTCGTTCTCTCCCTTCAGATTTGAGAGTGTTTTGGACCTGAAGCCCTCTGAGCCTGTGGGAACAGGAAACAGCGCCCCTACCCAGACTTCGTATCAGAGGCGAGACACGCCAACCCTGCGATCTGCCGCCAAGCAGCTCTACTTGAAGCACTCGCGATACCTGCCTGGTAGTGTAAACACTTGCCTTTACTTTGACCATTGATATGAAGTCGTGTACCCGCAATCACGTGCTCACAGAGAGTCTGTTTGGGAATGCAAGTGCTTGGGGCTTCTCTTTGGAACTGATGGGAACATCAGAAAAATATTTGCTGAAGCCCGGGCCTCCTATTTTTGTTTTATATAGTTGGCTCAGATAAGAAATTGGGTAGAGGAAACTGGGTCCAGCCTCCAGGGAGGGAGCAACTGGAAAGAGCTGGGCAGCATGCCTGAGGCCCCTGCACCTGACCGGGTTTAGGAGAAACTGCCAGTTCTCTCAGGAAACCAGCGGGGAGCTTAGTCTCACCATCTGGCAGTACTACAGGGTTAAGTGTAAACACTATAGTGTGGATGGCCTCTCTCCAGATTCTCCGGATTCCAAGCTTACAGCATTAGCCAACCGTTCATTCACAAGTGCATTCAATCAGCAAATACGTTTGAGTATCTACTGTGTGCTGGGCACTGGGAATATTAGGGAGAACAAAATGGCCGAGCGGGGCCCCTGGGCTGCCCAACCCCAGGGGGCTCCATTCACATCACAAAGTCTGCAGCCCTGCAAACGATACTCTAATGCAGCGTATTTTCTAGTGCTGGGAGACAGACCTGAACAAACAGATACACGGTAGTGCAGGTGGTGATAAGTGACATTCAGGGTGATCTACTGGGGAGGAGGCACTCCTTTAGACGGAATGGTCAGGAAGGGCCTCTCTGAGCAGGTGACTCCCAGGTGGGCCCCAAAGAATGGGAAGGAACTCAGTGCAGAGATCCGAGGGAAGAGCACAGTAGGCAGAGGAAGTAGCCAGTGCAGAAGCCCGGAGGCAGGAAAGGGCTTGTGAGGAATGGCCAAGAGGCCAGTGTGGCCAGAGCATCGTGAGGGTGATGTAATATATAGTATGGGGCATCTTTTTGGGTCCTGTAAGAAATTTGGACTTTATTTTGTAAGCAATGGAAGCTCTTGAAGGCTGTTAATTGGAGAGTGTCATGGTTTTATCTACTTCTATGTGCTGAGTGGGTGAGGGGCCAGCAAGCTGTAGTTGTCGTCCAGCTGAGGGGGGTGGTGGTCAGACTAGGGCTGGGGTCCCAGGGGAAGGAATGAAAACGGGAAGGGCTGGCCTGCTGATGCATCGATTCCTCACCCTTCAGTGGGGACTAGGGTTCTTCAGGGTTGGCACTGTGGTCTTAGAAGACTGGCCTGACAGTTCCCGGGGTGACCTGGCAGGAGAGAGACCAGATGACAGGTATAGCCGTGACCCAGGTGTGAGGGACAAAGACTCCAGTGACAGTGACCACAGGCAAAAGGGAGCAGGCAGGGAGTTGGAGAGTTGTTCCTTTTTGGCTCTAGCGGAAGAAGGAGAAGGAACGAGATGAATTCAGTCCTTCAGTTCTGAAAAATAGCTGCAGTGTCTGACGTAAGTGGGAAAGTGGGCGGTCCAGAGGGAAAGTGGTTTGGCTTGAGGTTGAGGTCAAGTCAGCCTTTGACGTGAGGGAGTCAGTGAGGATCCTTGGTACAGACCAGAGTCATCAGTTTGTGATAGTGATGGTGGTCCTTGTCAGGTGAGAAGATGGGATCTTGGGGGACAGAAGGCAGAAAGAGGAGAGCAGAGGGATGCAGATGTGGGGGGTGGCGTGGGGGTTGGAGAAGAACTTGCAAAGGTGACAGAAAGGCAGAGGAGGAATATCCAGGAGCCCTGAAGCCCAGGACAGCGCCAGAGGGGGTCAAGACATGGGACAGACAGATCTGTTGGTAGAAGTTGAAGAGACCTCTCAGGCTGCTCACCAGTGAGACAACATGCTAAACCCGAAGACGGCATCTTTCCTCTGCCATCTATCAGATGACATCAGCACAGTCAGTTTTTGCTTAGATCCTTGAACCGCAGGACGGTTTTGACAAATTGGGTCTGCATTAATTTCATCTCTGAAGTCTCGTGCAAGACTAAATATGTATTTTGCATCTTAAAATCATTTCTTCCCTATTAGGAATAAATATGAGAAATGGCGTACTCCCGAATCCAGGCAAGGATTTTATTCCATCTAATCCATGGTCTAGTTCTGGTGTGTCTGGAAAATCTTCAGGAACGGTATCGGTAATCAGCAAAATAAATTCAGGTGAGTAATGATTCTTAACTCCTAAATGACAAGAAGCGAATTCTCTGGATGCTGCAGGGTGGGTCCAGAGAGATGAGGGTGTAAGCTGTAGAACCACGGGGGCCTTTCTGGTGCGGAAACCCTGGGCCTCTTTTCCAGGTCTGTGCCCCTCTCCTTCTCTCAGCAGCAGGCCCTGGGGACTCAGCTCCCACGAGGTCTGCTCTCGAGAGTAGCTGGGGAGGAGAGCAGAGTCTTCCCTGCCTCATGGGAAAAACAGAAATAACTTCACGGGGTCTTACAAACGCTGACATCTGAGGCCCTGCTCTGTGATGGGCGACCTCCTTCTGACTCAGCTCTAGCTGCCTTGCTCCAACTCGTCCCCTGTGTCTGATGACACAGACTTAGCCCAGGGCATCAGAACCCCTTCTGGTTGGAAGGTGGACGGTTTGGAAGTCCCTCCCCACTTTTTTTGAAGAGATGAATGAATTTCGGAAGCCTTCAGGCTGACTAAGCCCATTGCCAGCAGACCAGTTTCCCACATCGTTTTTTCCCTCATACAGGGAGCCCCTGCTGGGAGCTGCATCCCCTTCCACATTGCCAAGGAAACTTCTGGGCCTCACTTCTCCCTGCCTTTATCCATTATGTGTTCATTTATTGTAAGGAATACAAAAAAGAAGGAAGTAATACATCAACACCCACTTACCCACCAGCAGGTTAAGGCATCAGACTGCCAGTACACGTGAAGTCCTCACCTTCCCTCCTCCCCCGCCTCCCTCAACCCCCACCTGATCTGAGCGTTTATTATTTCCATGCATTTAAAAAAATATACATGAGGGACCAGCCCCGTGGCCAAGTGGTTAAGTTCGCACACTCCACTTCGGCAGCCCAGGGTTTCGCCAGTTCGGATCCTGGGTGCAGACATGGCATTGCTCATCAGGCCACGCTGAGGCAGTGTCCCACATGCCACAACTAGAAGGACCCAGAACTAAAATATACAACTGTGTACTGGGGGGCATTTGGGGAGGGAAAAAGCAAAAAAAAAAAATACATGAAATACATAGTATGTTTTGCATGTTTTAAAATTTATATGCATATAATCCTGGATCTCCACTTCATTCGTTTTATTAATTACATTACGTATGTAACAATTGTACATATGTAGAATATTATATTATATAAAATATACAATATATAATTATACAATACTATAATTTATTACTTCTACTAGGCTATAATTTATCCCTTCTCTTCTGGACGAACTTGTAAGTTGTTTACGGGTTTTGCTGTTAGAGTGCTGAAATAAACATTGTCGGACCTACTGTATTGCACCGTGTGAGGGGTTCTCTGGGGATGGTGCAGTTAAAGTTAAGTTAAAGGGTCTGCTCATCTCCGACTTCACAGATATTGCCAAATTGCGCTCTGGCAGGGTATGGGAGTTGTGCTGCATCCTTGATGCCACTTGGTACTGTCAAGATTGTAAAATTTGTGCTAATCTGATGGGTGTGAAATGGCATCTTATTATGGCTTAAATTTGCATGTCCTGTTTACTAATGAGGTTGAGCATCTTTTCCTGTTTATTGACTGTATGTTTTTTCCCTTTTGTGACTTACCTGTTCAAGTTCTCTTCCCGTTTTTCTTCATATCTATCTGTTCACCAGAACTGCAAAACGTGCTCCAGCTGACCGACACAACGCCTCACACCAGGCCATTTTTCCCACTCTGCCTTAAGCAGTTGCCAAGGATGCTCTGTGCTGTAAAGACAGAGCAACTGTACCACTCATTAACCCTCTTCCTAACAGATGTAACTTCCAATTGGATAATGGCACATAGTAACATTGTTCATCATCCCATGTGTGCTGTTAAGCCTTCAAAATAAGGCTGATTATAGATATTCATTCACCCACCCAATATATGTTGATTACTTATGATCTGTAAGGCATTCCATTAATGTCCTAGAATACTAAGACGAGTACATACAGTTTTGACCCTTGAAGCACTCTCAAGATAGAAATGACATAAAAAGTGAATTATGTAATAATAATTTCATAGTTGTTAGTTTTTTGATTATGGACAAGAATATTTAGTGTAGAATTACTTGTAATAGCTAAATAATTAAGATAATGTGTGTGCTGATCAATAAGAGAATCATTAAATAAATTATGGTTTAGCCATACTCTAGAATTTGTATATATTGACTTGGAAGGATAGCTATTCTATATTATGGAATGGAAAAAGCAAATTTCGGAAGAGGCTAAACCTATTACTCCAAAAAGAAAGAAAATTCCAAATTTCCCTTTACTTCGATGAACCAACCAACCAGGCTCCGCTGGGGCGTGGCCTACAGGAGCAGCACAGTCTTTGCCCTGCGAGTCTTTCCGACAGCGTGGTGTGGTGGAATGCTCTGCTCAGAATTCCCTGTTTCTATCATAATTCTTTTTTCCTTCCTAACAGTCAGAACCTACTCTTTGTTGTTCTGCACTGCTGTCCTTTAACCCTGTGGTGTCATGTGCATGTGTCCTTGTAGTAATGAGCTTTCCCCTTTGCACATCAGTGGGTTCCGGCTCTGCAAGTTCTAGAGGACTGACTGGAAACTACATCCCTTCCTTTCTGAAAAAAGAAATCGGTTCTGCTATGCAGAGGGTACACCTGGCCCCTATCCCAGACCCTTCCCCTGGTAAGTTCTATTTCGGATCCTTCACGACTTGATTCAACAAATAGTTATTGAACAACTGCCTGGTGACAGGCAGGTTGTAGGCCTAGGGTCCGCCAAGGAAGGAGGCAGACAAAACTCCATGTCCTTGTGGAACTTGTACTCTCTAAACAATAAGCAAATCGAATAAGACGCTCCTAAGTGCTCAGGAGAAAAATAAAGCAGGCAGGCAGTAGGGAGTGTGGGGGTTGGAGTGTGGGGTGCAGATTGCAGTTTTAGACAGGGTAGCCAAAGAAGACGTCACCGCAAGGTGGAGTGAGGATGAAGACATTGAGTAAAGATCTGAAGATGGTGAGTGAGCGAGCCATGCAATATGGGGGAGACTATTCTAGATGGGATTCTTAGTGCGTGGGTGTCAAGGCTGGACAGGCCTGGCATCTTCAAGGGATAGCGAGGGGTGCAGGAGTGGCGTGAGTGAGAGGAGGCAAGGAGGAAGAGGAAGTCAGAGAGGCAAGAAGAGGCCTGACAGTATGAGGCCCTGCAGGCCACCATAAGCACGTTGTCATTGACTCTGAGCGACCTGGGAGCCACCGGAGGGTTTTGAGCAGAGGAGTAAGGTGATCTGACTTCCATCTTCCAGGCTCACTCAGGTTGCTGCTTGTCACTAGATGGAAAGCGGGGAGCAAGGTTGGAAGCAGGAAACCAATTGGGAGGCTGTTGTAATTATCCAGCAAAGAATGATGCTGGCCTGGGCCGGGGTGGTCATAGTTGGTTTGGGCCAGATTCTGGATATATTTGGAAGGTAGAGCCAATAGGATTTGCTGACAAATTTTAATTAAGTAGGATAAGAGAAAAAGAGAGAGGTCAGGAATGACACCAGTATTTTTGGCCTTACAACTATAGCATGGGGTTGTCCTGACTATGAGTAGGAGGCAAAAGCTGCTCTTGAACTCTCATTTTCTGATATCTTTGTCATCAAGATGCATTTATCTGCACTGTGTTTGCATGCGTCCCATATCAGTCAGACCCACCTTTCTCTTTCACTGCAGGTTATTCTTCCCTGAAGGCTGTGAGACCTCATCCCGGGCGACCTTTTTTCCATACCCAGCCTAGAAGCACTCCTGGGTTGATGCCCCGGCCTCCGGCCGCCCAGCCTGTGCACGGCCGGACCGACTGGGCCGCCAAGTACGCGTCTCGGCGATGACTGTCACAAAGCCCTTTGTAGGGGAAAGCAGGACACTATCCCTCATCCCACTGGTGTTCTAGCTGCAAGAACCTGTCGAGTGGTGTAAAAGCAAACAAACGCTTCATAGTTATCTTCTGAACTAAGACATTTCAATATTCTTTTTAGAATTTTTTTTTAAATATTGGTTTGAATGCAATACCCTTTTTTTGTACAAAATTATTTTATTCTAAAACTGGGTCCCGTTATTTTCTTAAGCAGCAACATTTTGTAAATATGGATTATGTTTTAGCATTTTATACAGTCAACTTTGTAATGAACTTTTTAAAGATTAATTGGTTTTCCTTTGGGGTTCCAGATAATATTTTATACAGATTTTTAAAAATGTAATAATATTGATGCAGTATTGCAACAGGCGTGCAATTTAAAGCTACATGATAAAGGGTTATTTACTCAACTTGTGGGGATAATTGTGAAGTGCTGAAATTTCACATGTGGCGTATCAGGTACTTCCGGCTCATTGGACTGCCATCTAGATCACTAGAAAAATGATCTGCTTTCCTCAATGTCATGTTATTGGTTTGATTTTTTGATACCGCTGTGCTGTTCAGAAAGTACTGTTGTATAATTCACTTTGTTTTGATCTTGTTCCCCAGATGAAGGAACTCTAAGTAAATATATTTTGAAATTTTGACCACAGCCCTCATGGTGGTTGGTAACATCCAGAAGAAACCCAGCTTTATACGCTATGCCATCCCCTTCTGCTTTCTTCCATTTTTGAAAGCAAATGGTATAAGTACCCACCAAAGGAAAGCCTTTCAGCCAGAAGGTTCTCCACATAAAGGTTAACACAGTCACTTAAACATGTCCCTGCCAGGACACATTGACACATGCTAAGTTTCAAAGCAGCAGCAGATTTTTTTGTTATAATAACTGATAGAATTTTGCATTCAGCTCAGTTCTCCAGGCCTGGCTGGGAACAGACAATGAATACTCTTTTGTCCTAGCCAAATTCTCAGGGCAGTTTGGGGAGCAGAAAAGATGTATGGCAGAGGTTCCACTTATCTGGGAAGTCACGGTGACCGCGATGTTCGTGTCCGTCGGGTGCCACATTTGAACTCTTAACCCTTGTGTAGTTTCAACAGTGAGAACTCTCTCTGTCGGGCAGAGGCTGTTCTGTTGAGAGGAATGTTTACAGCAATTTTGAAAAGGACAAAGCTAGTTTGGAGACAGAAAAAGACAAAAGGTCCACTCTCATCCATCTCTTTGGGGCACATTTGCCTCCACTCATGGTTACCTGAAAGGCAAGAGCGAAGGTCACCACCGGTGAACATGATAGCATCTCAGTAGTGTGTTGACTCATATTCTCTCAGGGCACAAACTACTCTCGTTTGCTTCCAGGTTCCAGGATAGAGCAAGTTGACCCGTATGAAATTGTCATTTTTGTAGGTTAAAATGAATATTGGCACTTTGATATGCTTCAACCTAGTAAGTTGATAAAATATTGCTTTGATGTGTTAATAATACATTGCAGCCTGAACAAATTACCATGGCTCCCAGAGAGCCCTAACCTAAAATCAGGGAGTAATTTCTGCTTTGGAGAATCTGGCTCAAAAAGATACTTGACCAAGCACTATGGCCACTAGAGGCATAAGAAAAGCACATAATGGATATGGATTTGATGGGTAATGTTTTCCTGTTAACAAACTGGCGGCAAAGCTTCAGAAAATAAATATGTACATGTACGCACAACTTGAAGCTGAATTGATTTCTGTATTATATTCACAACTCATTATCTAAAGCAACAGAAAATGTGTTTTCAGAGATGACTCTTTACTGAGGTTAAAATATTTATTTTCCCTTTCTGTATTGTGTATAAAAAGTAATTTAATCTGTAACCTTACCCAGCTTGCTGGAAAGCTGGTTTTAAATTGTAAATACCCCATAGACAAGCAAATAGATTGTGAATACCATATTCTTGGCGCTCTAGCTTATGTTAAGGTCATTACACTTCTTTTTAAATTGAAAAACCTAGTTACCTGGTTATTACACATTATAAAATTGTTTTTGAATACTTGTGTAGGGCCCAAATTTGGAAAATATTTCACTTTTCTTTCTCTTCTTTCCTTTGTTTATTAGCAAACAACTTCCCTTGGGAAGCCAAACACATTTATTCATGTGAAAGTCAAGAAGCTGATGCACAGTTGAGAAAACTAGAAGACTGGAAAAGCAATGTAAATTCTTGAGAACTAACCCAAATCCTGAAATACTCTTTTTTCCCCCCTAAATGGGTAAAGGACAAATTGTATATACAAGCTGTTTCCTATAGAAGGGAATAGTGACCATCTTTTGTTATGTGAAAATAAAATGCTACCTGTTGCATATATTTTTCAGTTACTATAGAATTATAAAATGTACTGTAAGATGCCAAGAGGAATGATGAGTTTCACTGTACCTGTCCATGACTAGCTCATTTCAGAGTCGGGGAGCTTTCTGGGATGTCAGGAGATGGTGCAGGGATGGCTCTCATTCAGTGCCAGTGGCGTGCTGGGGGGTCCCTGTGTAAACTGCAGGGAAACTGCATGAGCATCAAAGCTACTCTTGGTGTGATTGTTCGTTTTACAAGAAAATTCCAGTCATTTCTAAGCCCTCCCTCAGCTCATGTATGATAGGATTTAAGTAGGAAGAAAATTGATTTTCAAACAATTTTTAGAGACATCTCTTGCCTAAAGAACCATATACAGCTAATAAATTGACACTATGTCATCTCCCGGAGTTATCAAAAATTGAGTACAATCAAGGCAACACACGGAAAACAAAACAAGAATCCAAATACCGGTACTGTTGGAGTTCATGGGCACCATGATTTCTCATTTCCCTACCATCAAGCCATTGTTTTGTGCCATTTAGGAGAGAAGGAACGCAGGTGTATGTTTCAGCTCCGTGTATAACCAAAAGCAATATGTTTATAAGAAAATGTTTGACATACTAATTATTTTATCTCATTTAAAGCATACTGTAGCAACTGGTTTGTTTAATATATGTGGTTAATTTTTAGAATTATTTTTACAATTTCCAACCAAAGTACTGTATTTTATATAATTTATTGGGAAGACCTCTTCATGGAAACCATTAAGAAGACAAACTGGAGGCAAATATCACATTAATCTGTATTATCAGTTTCTTATAGACACTGTGCTAATGTGAATTTAAAATCACCGGAACAGTCTTCTGATCTCAGATGTCTCACTGCTGAGAGCAGATTATCCCCTGATTTGATTACAAGGGAGTAACTGAGAAAATACTTATTTATAAAGCAAATATTCATAATGATGAGAAGATAGGAGGACAGAAAACCACTTACTCAAGCCCCTTCTGAAATGAAATGTTGCTTCTTGAACAGTTTGTCCTGAGGTGTTTAAAAAAGTTCATTTTACATAAGAAAATTCTGCTCCAAATAAAGTTACAGTTTAAGAAAAATTGATTTGCGTGTTCTGTTTTTGCTTTCATGTTCTTCCATCAAAAGATAACAGCACAACTAGAATGACCTGGAACTAGAATATACAACTGTGTACTTTGGGGCTTTGGGGAGAAGAAGAAAAGGAAAGATTGGCAACAGATGTTAGCTCAGGTGCCAATCTTTAAAAAAAAAAGATCACTAGTATTTTCTAATTTGAAGTTTTGAGATTTTATGGCTCCTCCTTAATGCTTACTACAGTGTGACTGCTGTGGCATTGGAAGCATACACTTAGAGAAGCAGCATTGTTTTCCTGCAAAGTGGAGGTTTTTTTAAATTTAGCTTTTAGCAAGTTAGGTGACTAGGGATGTTAAAAAAAAAAGAGGTCGAAACAATTTCTTGTTGCTGACGTCATCATGATTAATACGTATATGTTTTCATCATGATTAATACGTATATGTTTTTAGCTTTCAAGGCACACTCAAACAATATATATTGTATACATACATTGTACAATATATAATGTACAATATAAGCTTTCAAAAGAAGTTCATAACTTCACGAATTACACAGAAGATTCCAGAGGAAGTGCATTTCCCAAACATTCTTTGAATCCTTGAAAGAATTTTGGAGGAATGTGATTAACCAATCAAACTTGTATTGGTGAATCCCTAGATGTGCCCTTCACGCTTCGAACACCGCCAGCCTGAGTGTGTGACCTCATGGTGTGTGTGCCCAGCCTGCGCCTTCCGAAGCCCCTCAGGTTCAAGCTCTCAGCTGTCCCTCCTGCCATAAAAACCTGCTGTGAAGGGGGGAGGGTGAAAGGGGTGATGAGGCATGTGTGTGTGGTGATGGATTGTAATCAGTCTTTGTGTGGTGAACATGACGTAATGTACACGGAAATCGAAATATGATGTACACCTGAAACATACAGAATGTTATAATCCAATGTTACTGCAATAAAAAAGCCAAAACAGATGAACAAAACCAAAAAAACCCCTGCTGTTAGAATAGATACCAGTCATTTATGGCTAACGCTGAATTTAAGCCAATTGTTTCCCTCTTTCTGGAGTGTTTACATATAAAGCTTCTCTTAAACTGAGATTTAAAGCTCTTGATTTTTTGTTAAGGCAATTTTACCTGCTACTGAGTGGGCGGGTGAAGGGTCAAAGGCTGAGAGGACTTTGTTAGGTAGATGGATAGACACTACAAGTAAGGTTGTCCCAGACTGGCAGCAACTCCAAAGGTCTCCAAGAATAGCATGATTTCAAGGGCTTCCAAGGAATAAACTGACCTAAGGGTTTCTGTCATTGAATGGCAGAATTATTATAACAGGACTTTTAATTTCTCCACAAGCCTGGTAATAATAGCGTCTTATGATATTGCCTTAGTTTCTCTTTCAGGCAAACAAGATCGCTAGGATAATGTGACCCCTGTAATATTAGGTGGGACATATGAAGTTGCCATCTTTATAAGTTAGAAGAAAATAGTAAAGTATCAGCAATTTGATATGGTTCAAACAATTAGAAATAAGGAAATGGAGATAAATGTTTGGCTTATGAACAAAATTGAATAATGTTTGTCCTAGCTAGTTCAATTAAAATAAATCCTTGTAGAAAGATGGGTTGGAAAAAACGAAAAGAATGATCACTTTCAGCGGGGTTGGAAGATAATGGCTTCCTACCCATGTTAAACTGAGTAATCTGTGCTAGGTCAGAATTAGAAAGATGAAATTGAACATACAGTGTTATCTGTGTTCGAAAGTGTGCCTTTTCTGACTCTTGGGGTGCCCAGCTGTTGTTGGTTTGCTTCTCTGCTTCCTTTACGTCCTTTCTCTGGATCTGCTCATCCTGTTGCTGCCCGTTTGATCCATCCCAACCCTCTCTTCTGAGTCATCACCGTCTAGGGGACATTTTCAGTTGGATGGCTCATAGGAGTGAAAGACAAATCTACTCATTATTATTTTCCCCACAACTTGTCCTCGTCTACCACCCTTTATGGAGCTAGAAACCAAGACATTTTCTTTCTTTCTTTTTCCCTCCCTCACCCCCTCCCTCCCTCCCTCCCTCTTTCCCTCCTTCCCTCCTTCCTTCCTTCTTTCCTACCCTCCTTCCCGCCTTCTTTCCCTCTTTCCTCCCTCTTTCCCTCCTTCCCTCCTTCCTTCCTTCTTTCCTACCCTCCTTCCCGCCTTCTTTCTCTCTTTCCTCCCTCTTTCCCTCCTTCCTTTCTTCCTTCTACAAATATTCTCTGAATGCCTACTCTCTGCTAAGTATGGTGCTAGGAGCAGGATATACAAAAGTATATTTTAAAAATATGAAAATCTCTAACCTCATGGAATTTATATTCTATCAAATCTACAGACAGATAAAATATATAGTATGTTAGATGACAAAAAATGTTATGAAAAATAGATGAGGATGGGAAAGGAGGTGTGTGCGTGTGTGTGTGTGTTTGGAGAGGCTCGTCATTCTGGACTTTTCTCTTCCTCCTTTCCTCTACTTGCTTCTACTTGGTTGGTAAAACCTCCACCTCCTTAATATTTCACCTTTTCTTATCCGTCTTCTTCAAACTCACGATGCTACTTTGATTCACATGGACATTCAACAGGTCTCTCTTTCTCCACCCTGCACTGTCCCAATTCATTCTCCACACTTCTGTCGGAAAAATCTACCAAAAACATGATCGTACTAGTTGCTGCGATTCATCAGCACCCCGGTCTTCTCAAGCCAGGTGCTCTCAAGATCCCCTCCTGGGTGAAAACAATAGTCAACAACACCGAGAGAGCAGAAGCTGCCTCTAAGAATAAGAAATAATTTTTACGTTTTTTGAAGATACATATTTTTAAATTTAAAATTCATGTGAATATACTGTATAAGATAGCCTTGATGGTTTTGAAACATGTTTAAAAGTTTTAACTTATTTACCAGCCAAATTACTTTTTTAGCCCCATTGACACCTCCACCTCAAGCCCCCCCATCTTCCTCCCATCCAGGATGGTGCTATGCACAGTAAAAAAATAAATATATGCACAGATATACACAAAACGAGAAATTAAGTTCTACCGCTTAATAAAATATGCATTAACAGCACTTTTATGTTATATATGGCACTCTGCATACCTACCTTTCAACAATTTGCTATATGTACCTTTTATACGAATTACCTGATAGCTGGAATTTACAAGTCGTCAGTGTGCTAAATGCAGGTGTACCCCCTGTTTCATTTCGTTAAAAAAAAAAAAAAAAGTATCTTGGTTGTATCGTCAAAAGAAAGGCAGACTGCCACATGCAGCGCCTCATTTGGATGTGTCTGGAGTCTTGGAAGCTTGACTACCCTACGTTCTCCTACAAATGGACCTTGAGAGCTTGTTTGGAGGTTCTAGCAGGGGAGCGCAGCTACTCGTATACCCTTGACCGAAGAACGGTCCTCCTCTATCGGGGAAGGTCGTCCTCTTCGACCGAGCGCGCAGCTTCGGGAGGGACGCACATGGAGCGGTGAGGGAGGAAGGGGACACCCGCCTAGCCAGCCAGATCAGCCGAATCAACCCTGGCGATCAATGGGGTGACAGATGTCGCAGCCAGATCGCCCTCACATCCGAGGCAGCAGGATCGAGCACGAGGTATATAAGCCTGTAGAAAATTGTGGCTTTACGCATAGGTCGAGTTGTTTACTATGCCTGGTCTCTAGCAGGAAGCTTCAGGTAAAGTCCAAATCTAACTAACATTCTAAAGGTTATTTCATCCTTCAAACTCTAAAATTGATGTTTAAATTGACTTAAATTGGAGATGTTTTTATATTATCCACAATGCCTTGCAGATGGGTGGGGCATGCTAAACACCGCCGTCTCTATTGGTGAAATCTTTCCGGAGCCTCGCCCACCGTGAGCGCGCTCGGACCGCCTGCTGCTCCCGCCTGGCTGCTGACCGCTCGCCGCCGACTTTGTGCGGCTCCGGGTGCTCCGAGCGGATTCCAGGTCTGTCTCCGCTGCCGCCCTCCGGCGCCCCTTCCTCTGTTTCTCTTCCCCTCCCCCATCTTCTCTAAGCTCCGAGCCTCTAACTCTCCCATCCATCCAGTGACCACCCCCTCATTCAATCCTTCTCTTGTCTCCCTCCCTCTTGTCCTTTGCGCCCCCGCCCCCATCTGGGCAGACGTGGGCTGGGGTTGGGGTCTTTCTTGGCTCTGTGCGTATTTCTATTAACCCGCTCTGCGGAGTCTGAATCCACTGGTGGAAGGCAGGCTCGGATCTTCCCGGGCCGGGCCCAGCGTGGGCTGAACGGGGGCGTGGGGGCCCCGGGAGGCTAGTCTCGGGGGGCCGAGTGCGTGGCCTGGGCGCCCTCGCAAGAGGGGGCTCATCTCCCAGTGGGGGCGGAGGACCTGTGGGACCCGGGGGCGGCTACCGCAGACGTGGCGAGAGACGCACGTTTTGCAGACAGTCGTAATACTTAGCCCATCCACCTCCCATTTGCTGGGATAATTAAATATGATGATGCATGTGAAAGTGCGAATACTTGCAGAGGTTCCAGGGGGTGTGTAACTCTCCTCCGCGTCTGGCCTCTCCGGGTTGCATTTGGAAAATCTAAGATTTTTCAAGGTCAAATTATATGATGTTCTGAATCCGTGAAGTAACGTACTGCTAGCCCAAATGTCTTTTCAGCAAATGGCCCCAGCTTCCCAAGACCCAGAATAAGAAATCATAAATAGAAACAATATGAAAACCAACAAAGACGGTTGTTATTTTTAAATATTTTAAAATGGTGGCGTGTTTTTATGGAGTGAGGGAAAACGCAGTAATAAAAAAAAAAAGTCAGTTTCCTGTGCCCAAATCCCGAATATTCGTTTAGCCTGAGCACTGGGTTGAGGACACGAAATTGAGACTGTTGTTCGTAAGCGAGGAGCTGCTGGATTTGTTTTTCAGAAAGCCTGCAAGGCCATCATGGCAGCGAAGCCCAAGCTCCATTATCCGAACGGGAGAGGTCGGATGGAATCCGTAAGATGGGTTTTAGCCGCTGCTGGAGTCGAGGTACCCTGCCTTGTTTCTTCACAGATTTGTCGTACAGCCTTGAGACCTTTGAGGAAAACATAAATGGCGGAGCCCTGTTCTGGTCGTCTCCCACTAATATTGCAGACATGCTTCCTTGAGTCAGAATCTGAGTTCTTCCTTTCAAGGGGGTTTTTCTTTATAAATGAAATGTCGTTAATGGAATTCTGTTTTACTCTTGACTGTTGCTTAATCATTGACTTCTGATCTACTACCAATAAATTAATAAGGAGAAAAGCAGTGAACCTGAAATTTGCCAGTTACTCCCAGAACTTTTTAATTATACATTCTCTAGGTAAATTTCCTGTTTACTTTGATGGCTTCAAACTGGCAGCCTGCTGTTTTGTCTGCATACGTGTCTACTTTGGCCCACAGTGTTTTTGTTTTTCTTTTGGTTCTGTTCTTTTACCTTCTTATTTATGGAAATTTTCAAATACGAACAAAGGTAGAGAGAACGTCCGTGGATTCCATGTACCTTTCACCCAGCTTGGTCATTAGCTCTTTGCTGACTTTGTTCGTCTCTCTCGTCCCCTCCACTTGTTCTGTGGGACTGGGTTCTTTAAAGCAAAATACATACCATTTCATCTTTGAGTACTTCAGTTTTTATCTCTAAAAGATGAGGATTTTAGAACATAACCACAATACCATCACCACACCCAACAAAATTAACAATTCCTTATTAGCATCTGGCACTTAGTCCTAATTGTCTCAAACAATTCTTTTTATAGTTACTTTGTCCCCGACTGGATTGAAATCAGGTCCACGCATTGCATTTGATTAGGTTTCTTTCAGTATTTTAAAAATTTCTAAGATTTTCTCTGCATTTTAAAAAAATTAACTTTACGTTTGGAAATAATTTTAGATTAATAGAAAACTTATGAAGATAGTGCAGGGTGTTCCCACATGACTGTCACTCAGTCTCTCCTACTAACAACATCTTACATAACCGACTCAAAACTAAGAAATTAACGTTGGTGCACAACTAAACTACAGACTTCATTCCAATTAATTTTTCCACTAATGCCTTTTTACTGTTTCAGGATCCAACATTATATTTAATCACTAAATTTCCTTAGTCTCCCTCAATCTGTGGCAGTTTCTCAGTCTTTCCTTTATTTCACAGCCTTGACAGTTTTGGAAAGTATTGGTCAGGGTTTTTGTGGAATCCTCCACAGTTTGGGTTTGTCTGATGTTTTTCTCATGATTACTCTGGGGTTTGGGGTTTTGGGGGAAGAATACCAAAGAGATGAAGTACCCTTCTTATTGCCTCGTGTTAGGGGTTCCATGATATTAAAATGAACTATCATGGGTGCTGTTAACCTTGGTCATTTGGTTAACATGGTGTCTGCCAGGTTTCTTCACTGTAAAGTGACTATTTTTCCTTTGGTCCTTTGGAAGCGAATCATTAAGTTCAGCCTACACTCCAAAGGATGGGAATTAAGCTCCAACTCCTGAGGGGAGAGTATCTACATTTAGAATTCTTGCGTAAGGAAGATTTATCTTTTTCCTCTTCACTTATTTATTTATTCGATCGTTGTTTATATCAGTGTGGACTTAAGTATATTTATTTTATATTTTGGATTAAAATCCAATAGTACTTTATTTTGTTGCTCGAATTGCTCCAGCTCTGGCCATTGGGGCTCTTTCAGGTGGCTCTTGTGTTCTTTCCACAAAGCCCCATCCTTCTTTTTCTTTTTTTTCCCTTCAGCACTTCCTTACTGTCTGATACGACAAGATGCTCCAAGCTCACCTTATATTTAATTTGCCCTCGTCCTAGAATCCGGTGTGCCTCCAAGGAGCCCTGGCCCCTTTTATTAGAACATGGTATTAGCAGCCAAGATCCGGGTGCTAAGTGTCTGCATTTGTTTCTGGTGCCATTTATTTGTGGAAGAAACTGCCCTGTAGAATTTCCCCCATTCTGGATTTGGCTGATTTACCCTCATTTTAACATGTTCCTTTATTCTCCATATTTCCTGTAAACTGCCGTTGGACCCTGATAAATCCAGGCTCCTTTTTTTCTTTCTCTCTCCTAATTTTTTTCCTACCAGACTGCGTCAGAGGTGATGCTGTGAACACATTTCTCTTGTACAACATCAGGGGGTGCATGATGTCTGACTGTCTTGTTTTCAGCAACGCTGAGCTTGATCCGTGTGTTCCAGTGACGTCAGCCTGATCCGCGCATTGGAAAGTTTCCTCCATTACCCTTGCAACTAGTGGTTTTAGCAGCTGTTGATTGTCATCATTGTAAGGGATGGCAAAATGGCGATTTTTCTATTTCTGCCATTTCACCTGAATTTATTAACTGTGGTTAATAAACTGAGTAATTTTTTGCTTGTTAACTATTTAATTGCCTTGAAGTACAGTTCAGATAGGAAAGGCAAGATAAATGCTTGATTCGGTCTCTTTCAATTTTCAGAATAATGAGGCGTTACCGTAGCAACCTCCAGAGATGACAAATGAAGGTTGATGGCTTTGGGGTTTTGTTTTTTGTTTGGTTGGTTTGGTTTTGGTTTCTTTGCAGATCGTTAGAACTTGCCACACAGTGTTTGACAATTTTCTAAATTTTTGTATGTAAATTCTAATTTCTGACTTCTCTTGAGAAATGGGAAGAAGATCTGATAATACTGGACCCTCATTTCCACAGGGCAGCAATTGCTGAATCTGTTTAAGGACCACACTGTGGATGGACCTTTCTAATTCATCACGGTCCCCATCACTCCCTCTTGGCTCAGGACATGTTTTCTCATTTGTTAAGAGGAGGGTGAAAAAATTCTTGGTCCCATCACCTAAACCTGGTCAGCTTATTTATGTCAACCATCTAACTCCTGTATGCCTCTGAGTTTGCAGTTCTGGTTTATTTGATAGGTTTTGCAGTGTTTGTCTTATATGTGTATGCAATATAACCCCTTGTCAAATCCCCTCTCTTCCCTGTCTTCATTCTATCCTGTCCCTCCTACTCTCCTGTGAGTCAAGATTCTTGGTTGCAGTAATAGAAACTCCACCCTAAATAAGTCAAACAAAAAAGAACTTGGGTGATATGACCCACTACCCTAGACCAGGCAGGCAGGTGGGGTAGAATAGTTAGCCCAGCTTGGTTCCCGAGCCCACTGTTCTGACCAGGGTGGGGGGAGCTAGACTGGCCTCCCTCACTAGGGCTGACCATATGGTTTACAGGAGCAATTCCCAAAAGGTGGTATTGAGGGGTGGGTGTCCCTCCCCATTTCTTTGCCAAAAGATATTTTTAGCTCAGTTTGTGCTCATGTAGATGTGAAACAGTCAGGACAGAGGGACAGCTCATGACTCCCAGGGTCGCAGTGTTGGGTTGCCCCTGTGGTGTAAAGCACACAAGCACACACACCTGAGTAACTGGGTAACTGACAACCGCTGAAAGGCAGCCTGTCCTAATTCGGGGAATCGGTGTCCTCAGTCTCAGTCACTTGATTTGAGACCTTAGACATTGTTCTGAGCTAAATGTTGCTTCTTCGCTGCTCGGGGCTTCATTTGCCTGGTGACCCCCCAGAAACCCAGTCAGGTCCTCCTTGTTAACAGGGAGATTGACACGTGTTGAAGAGGAGACTTAAGGCCACAGACTCCTAATTCAGGACTTCTGGGCAATTCACTTAGAAGAACTGAAAGAGCTTGAAAGGGGGTGCTGTGGTGTGGGGAGGGCAGTGCTCCAAAGACCCCAGGTGGGAACAGTACCCTGGTTGTGCAGACAGAAACCTGGACGCTGCCTCTGTGCTCATCGCTTGAGCAGTGCTCAGACAAGAGTCGCCAGGTGCCCTCCCAGCTCTGCCTTGTGATGTTTGTCCTTCCTCTCTTTCCCACCCTCTCATCTCCCATTCCGGTGCCAGTTTCTTCTTGCTGCCCAGTAGTTTTGTAAAGCTTGACACGAGAGAGTTTCTCTAGTCAGAGAGAGCACACATTTTGCATATGTGTCTCCAGAAGTCAAAATTCAGAATCAGAACTGTTTGGAAGAATTTGTTTTAAAAAATGTATCTTTCTGGTCTCTGCCAGCTACTGCATTGAGTATCGGAACCGGGGCGGGGGGGGGGGGGGGGGGCTGGGTCTAACACCCACCCCCGCACTTCCTTGTGTGCTTTAAATGGTCACAGTCATGAAGGTTTGAGAGCAGTAGTGTGGAGGGGGCACCACCTGCATCACGTGTGAGCAGCTAGGCGTTTGGACAAATGCCCGGGACATTCTTGCCCTGCGGCTACTGCTCTGTGGGCACCAGATTGAGGGCCTCCAGGGGGCCCTGAGACCCCTCTCCTCACACCACGAGGACCCTGGGGAGTAAGAGAAGCCATGCCAACATCCCATCACCCCGATTCTCCCCCCAGGTCAGCTGTTTGGGATGGAGGAGGGGAGAAGTTCCAGTTGTGTGCTGGTCAGCTCTGTCCCCCCTCGGATGCCTTGAGGGGGCAGTGCAGGGACAGACACAGGTAGGGAACCCTCTGAGGACTCAGCGGGAGGAGGCTTCCCTCCTGTTTCTGACGTGAAGTACATTAGTGCCTTAGAACGTGTTTCATATGTCACGAGAAGAGGAACCTGTTTTCACTGCTTCTTTTTTTCCCGTAACTTTTTTTTTGGTGAGAAAGAGTGTCCCTGAGCTAACATCTGTGCCAGTCTTCCTCTGTTTTGTACGTGGGACGCTGCAACAGCATGACTTGATTAGCGGTGTGTGGGTCCACGCCCAGGACCTGAACCCACATACCCTGGTAGCTGAAGCTGAGCCCAAACCTAACCAGGACACCACTGGGCTGGCCCCTCCCCTAACTTTTTAGTTTGAAACTTTCAAACCTACAGAGAAGTTGTAATGATACAATGGACACCTTTCAATTAAATTCACTGGTTGTTAACATTTTGCTACATTTGATTTCTCCCTTCCTCTCTCTGCTCCCTGCCCCACCCCCAATCCTTTGAAAGAAAGTTGCAGATATCAGCATGTATCTTCCTCCTAAGGGAGAATAAATAATTGTTATAATAACCACAATATCATTGTCACAACTAAGAAAATTAATACTAGTTTTACAATATCTACTACACAGTCATTATGGAAAAGTTCTCCATTGTCCCCCAAATGTGTGTATGACTGTTCTATACCTATTTAGCAGTTGTAACTGTCCACCCACACCCCTCCATCCAAGATCTAATCAAGATTCAGGCATTTGGTGGTTCTGTCTCTTTAGTTTCTTTTCATCTAGAACAGTGTCTCCTTCTTTTTTTCCCCTATGCCCTTGACTCTTTAAAAGAGTCCGGGCCATTTCTGTTGCAGAATGTCCCACATTCTGGGTATGGCTGATTTTCACCTTGCAATGAGATCCAGGTTAAACGTTTTTGACAATGTTTCCACAGTGTTCCTGTGCCCTTCTCATTGTGTCACAGCAGGAAGCACATGACCTCTCAGAGTGGCCCCCAGTGGGGAACTACGTTTGACCACTTGGTTTGACAGATCTCTCCATTACAAAGATATTTTTCCTTTGTCATAATTAACTTGTGGGGTGATCCTTTGAGATTGCGAGTATCCTGTGCCCCATGACCTAAGGATTTCAGTATCCATTCTGGTCCTTATCAGAATCAATTATTAGGGGCCTGCCCAGTGCAGCGGTTAAGTGTGCACGTTCCGCTTCTCAGCGGCCCGGGTTTTGCCGGTTTGGATCCCGGATGCGGACATGGCACCACTTGGCAAAAGCCATGCTGGGGTAGGCGTCCCACATATAAAGTAGAGGAAGATGGGCATGGATGTTAGCTCAGGGTCAGTCTTCCTCAGCAAAAAAGAGGAGGATTGGCAGTAGTTAGCTCAGGGCTAATCTTCCTCAAAAACACACACACACAAGAATCAATTATTACATTGTAGGTTGCAAATTGGTGACTTCCTAATTTTATCATTAATTAGCAATAATTCTATATGAATTAGCACTAATTCTTCTGTAAAAAGGAGCTTTTCCTTCTCCCTTTATTTTAGTATCATCATTTATGGACACAGGGATGTGTGTGTGTGTGTGTGTGTGTGTGTGTGTGTGTTGTAATCCATAATTGACCTTACTCTTTTTGATGCTTGAATTGTCACAGATTTGGCTAGGGATTCTCTCTCTCAAGTAGCATCCTGTGTGCCTTTGCCTTTGACATTTCTCGCACTTCCTTGCATTTGAGCACTTCCTCGCTGTCTGAGAGAACAGAGTCCACCTTTTCTCCCAGGAGTCCTGATTTCCATCCAGTGGGCATTAATATTTAGAAACCAAAATGTGGATGTTAAGTGTGCTCTTTCTCTCTGCTTTTGAGGAAATTTAACTTGCTTGTTTCAGTCCTGAACCCGTAATGACATTTCCCTTCTTTTGGGGGGGGTGGTGTCTTTTAAAATTTAGTTCGATGAAGAATTCTTAGAAACAAAAGATCAGCTGCAGAAGTTGCAGGATGGTGAGTATGGAAGTGAGACAACGGTTGGTAATACTGATTTTTTTTTTTAAGAACTGATATGTGTGTGGAAGGGCAAAGATGCTGCTGACACCAGACCTTCAGAGCAGTATCCTAAAACCAGACAGGCAGGAGGAAATAACAGCTGAAATTGCCAAGAAATCGCTTCTTATTTAGTAATTCTTTAAGAACCAGCTAAAGGGAGGGAGCAGTTCCTTCCTGCATCCAGGTGGACAGCTCTTCTTCATCCTGTTCTCCTCCAACCCTCTGCCCTCTTTTCCCCCTTTCTTCCTCTCCCTCATCCCTTCCCTCCTCTTCATCTTCCCCTCCTTGCCCTCTCCAAATTATCTGAGGCATTGGCGCATGCTTGAAGTATGTAGCTAAAAGTCCCCATTTACACTGGGCTGCATTTCTGAAAGTAAATACCAAACAGAAACAAAATCACTGAAAGGCCCCCTTTAACTCCGGGTCAGCCCTACTCCCTCCGTGCCCAGGCCCCAGAAGGAATACCCCCTAAACCTGCATGCAGCTCCCTCCCAGCCGCCAGCAGGGGTCCCCAGGCTTAACTCAACGCTCCCTTGAGAGGGACCAGCTCTAGGGGGTCTCATGCCACCTGTCATGTATGACACTGCCTGACGTCACCAGGCATGTGCTGAATACTCATCTCCCCTCTGCCTTCATATGCCCCAGACCCTGAGCCACTCAAGGGCTAGGCTGTAGCCTATACTTGCATCTCTCCCTGGGTTTGGTACGTGGAAAGTGTTTGATATAGGTTTGTTGCAGAAAGTAATGGATTACTTTGGGACCAGTGACAGCATACTTGGTAGTAAGTGGTATGTGGCTGTGGAAGAGAAAAACCGAGCCTACATGGGTAAGTATCAGCTGGTGACTTAGCTTTCATGATCAGATGTCTAAAGTAGTGCTGTCAGTATCGCATTTTACAGTGATGGAAATATTCCATTGTACACAGTCCAGTGTAGTAGCCACTAAGCCATATGTGCCTGCCGAGCACTTGAAATGTGTCTATTGTGTCTAAGGAAATGAATTAGAAATTTTTTAAAATTCTAATTAATTTAAATTTAAGTTTAACTAGACACATGCAGCTCCTGGCTACTGTTGCCCAGTGCAGCTCTGAAGAAATATCTTTACTCCATTTCCCCCTACCCCTTCTCACTGTGGGTAGTTATTTTTTCCTGGGGTGAAAATGAAAAGGGAAGGTTTAGAACAGTGCTAGTGTTGGGGCTGCTTTATGGCTAAATCTGCTTCCCTGAATGAAGTTGAGGTTATCCGTCATCAGGGAGCTTTACGCTCTTTCCTAAGGCTGTCACCCCACTGTCCTTTATCATTCAATAGAGCACCTTTTTAGGGGATGGGGAACAGGGAAGAGATTACTTGTAACTCTGAGCTTCCATCCTCAGGTAACCACCTGTTGTTCCAACAAGTGCCGATGGTTGAAATTGACGGGATGAAGCTGGTGCAGACCCGCAGCATCCTCCACTACATAGCGGACAAGCACCACCTCTTTGGCAAGGACCTCAAGGAGAGAACCCTGTACTGAGGCTCCTCTCGAGCGTTCTTGTTTGTCAGCTTGCTGACACCCTAGCTGATTAGCAGTCCTCTCCAGCGCATCCTGACTGCTTTATGTCTTGTGTCATTAGTGTGAACAGGGAACAAAAACCAGTGGGAAAATCAGGACAGAGAGTCTGAGTAAAATGATAGAAAGCAGTTGAATTCAGATATTGGATCCTGACCCTGGGGTGTGATGGATTCAGGTTTCAACATCTTTAAACACTTTGATGCTGCTTTTGCCTTTCTTGCAAATTGATTGTCTTTGAGTATTAGGAACAGAAAGCTGCTGTGACATGCAAGGACTGGGATACCGTGCTCTGGATTATAATGTGAACTCAAAGCCTGGTCCTTGTATTTGCTCGATGTATGATACTAGGAAAAATGCTAAGTTCTGGGGTCCTGATGAGTTTCCTGTACAATAGGATATTGATAGCACGTTCCTCATAATGTCACAGGATTCAGTGACATATTGGATGTAGAGTGTTTAGCACTCTGCCTGGTACATACCAAGCATTCCATAAATGATATGCACTCTTTTCATAAATGTGAAGTTCCACCCACACTGAGCGTGGGTGCAGGATGCGGGTGGAGGAGTGGACTATTGTGCTTTCTGATTTGTGACAAATTTTTCCAAATGATTTTGTGAATTACAACTAGAAGTGACTTTGCATCTTTGCTCTTAAGAGACAGATGTAGGTAAATGCTTCATGGTACTTAAGTTGCCAGAGCCTTAAGAGAAAAGCACTCTGAATTCTTAGTGGTAAAAACCGATGAGTTCAAAGAGAGGAAACTGAGAAAGCTGCTTTTTTGTTTTAAGGATTGACATGTATGTGGAGGGGACGCTGGATCTCCTGGAATTGATCATCATGCATCCTTTCCTAAAACCAGATGATCAGCAAAAAGAAGTGGTCAACATGGCCCAGAAGGCTATCATTAGATACTTTCCTGTGTTTGAAAAGGTAGGTGGCAGAGAAGCCTGTGCGCACAGCATAACCCGACCACAAAGCAGCTGCTGCCATGCCCCTTGCTGCTCAGGGCTGGGTAAAGCTGAGCCCCATTGGACTAACCCCACTGGACACCTGAGAGTGGACAGTGGCCACCAGCACAAGGCCAGGATGTCTTGGAGCCCCTCAGACTCTACTAGGACCACATTATTCGGAAGCCTGGAGAAATATGGGCTCACCCCATGTGTGCATTACTGTTCCTGCACATTCACCAGGTGCCCACATATGTAGGATACAGAAAAGCAGAAACTCCCCAGTTGCGTCATTCTTCCATTCCATGGTCATTGCTTTAACGGGCAATGTGTGTCAGACGTGCTATTGGAAGAAAAGAGCCATTGCTGTTCTATTTCTCTTCCCTTTGCTATTTTTGTTTCTGTTTTATTTTCCTCATCTTATTACTATATCTGCTTTTCTGAGCTTCAAACTCCTCTTTTCCTCAACTGAGAGGAATATTTTTAAATGTTTCAATCAAAAAACAGCACGTAAACCTAGAATTGGCAGACTTCTTCTGGCCATCCTTGCGGAATTAGATTTCAGATGAAGGAGCGGTATTTTCTGTCGCCTGGTTTCATGGTCTCCTGCCCATAGGCACTTTGTGAATATAAAATATAATGCAGAAATGTGTGATAAGGGAGGAACAGGTGCTTTGCAGACAGGTCACTGCTGGTTCTTCTGTCCCTGTGGCCCAGAGTGCATCAAGGCTGCTCCCAACACATGAGCTAAAAACTGTTACCTCTCTTTTACACATAATGAAACAGTCACAGAGAGACTGAGTGACGCGCCCAAGGTTGGAGGCAGGATTGGAGCCCTGGCCTCTGACTATAAATTCTGGATTCATTGTACTCTCCGACTCTGGCTCCAGAGTCATATTTAATTTGGAGTCGTACACAGAGTCCCTGTCAAACACACATGCACACGTACATGCACACGCATGTGCACACAAACTCACCCTCATGGGCATCTAAGAGTCCACTGCAAAGGGATCCCCTCTGTTCTGCCACTGTTCTTGCCTCTCCCTGATTGTCATCTGTTCCTGTGAACCCGCACCTGTAGGTTACTCTCAACACGGGAGCCGAGATGAACTCTCGTGCTTTTAATTTTCTCTGTCTTGGGAGATGTGCAAGTCTGCTTTTTTTATAGTCGCATCTAGTTTGTGACCATGAGTCCCTCATAGAAACCCAGAACTGGCAGACGACATTGGACTCCCTAGACAGGACCTATAGCTGACTTCTTACATCACGTGCCCCCCAGCCTCCTGAATTCATCAGGGCTAATTCATTTCTGTAGATGCATTCGTGGTGTAGATGTCCCCTTGTAAAGCGCTGGGTGCTAAATCCAGAATGTTTCCTTCCCCTCTTCAGGCTCATTCTGCTGTAAAGCAGATATTTAATGATGCTTTCATTTCTACGCCTTTGGTTTCTCTCTCCTGATACAGGGAGCGTCCTCTTAGTTGATGTTATTTATAAAAGGATGAAAGGACAAGGCCTAGTTTCACGCCTTCTCAGACACTGCACTGATCCAATACCTCCGTCAGTTTCTCCATGTCGAGAATTGTAACCGATGCAGGACGTTTCTATCCCGCAGGTCTTAAGGGATCACGGACAAAGGTTTCTTGTTGGTAATCAGCTGAGCCTCGCGGACATAATTCTTCTCCAAACCATTTTGGCTCTAGAAGAGAAAATTCCTAATATCCTGTCTGCGTTTCCTCACCTCCAGGTAAATAAAACTGCGTCTCAGAAGATTGGCCCAGAACTCTTAGGCCTTCCTCCAGTGTCTGTTGATCGGTTGCCTGGGTGTGTGTATGTGTGTGTGTAGTTTTTTAAAATTCTACTTAGTAAAATGAGATGAAGGTACAGACTTGAAATTGTTTTCCTGCTCCCCAGATTCTTAGAGCTGAAAGATCATCTCCAGCTGAAAGAAGCTTTACCTTAGTTTTGCTCCATAACTACACTCTTGGAATGAGCTCCACACAGGTTGCCAATAGGCACTTGCCGTAGAAGTACTTCTAGGGACGAGGTTTTCGTCGTCTGTTTGTGCAGTACTGACGGGAGGGCTCGAGAGTCAGCATCAAAACCAGTCTCATCGTCAGTGTGGCTCCCATTCTCAGAAATAATGTGGTCTCCAACTAGAAATGTCCAAGCCTGAGTTCCGAGAGCTAAGAAGAGGCATCGTAAACATTACCCCACAGAGCCCCCACATTCTCCTTCCCAGAGATTCCAAGGAGAGACTGTGTGTGGCTCAGCTTATTCCTCGGTATTATTCTGGCAGGATTGATCATAGAATTTTGAAGCAGAAAAGGGCTTTAAAACACTAGTTTCATCCGATGCCTTCAAAAAGATACGTATGAGGAAAGAGAGACCAGGGTAAGGAAGTCAGCAGTCAGGATAGCCTCGTGAGTGGGTACCTGAGTTTCGTCTAGAATGTTAGCCTTTTATCTCTAAATCTGGTCAGCCTTGCTCTATCCTGGGGTGTTAGCGAACTGCGGCACCCCTGGGCCAAATTGGGCCTGCTACCTGTTTTTGTACAGCTCTTGAGCTAAGAATGGTTTTTACATTTTTATATGGTTGAAAAAATATCAAAAGAATAATAATATTTCAGGACATCTGAAATTTAAAATTCAGTGTCCATAAATAAGTTTTATGGGCGCAGAGCCACGCCCATCCATTTACACATTGTCTGTGCATTAGTGCTGCCACGGCACAGCTGAGTCGTTCTGCTAGAACCCATAGGGCCTGCAGAACCTAACATATTTACTGACTGGTCCTCTATAGCAGGAGGTGGTCAACCCCTGATAAGGACCAAATCGACACATCTTTGACCAAGTTATCAAAAGACAAGAGAGACACACACTTAATCTCCAAAAAGTAACACACATACCTTTTAAAATAATTTTCCCAAGTCTAGTAAACAGCATTTTGATATGCTGATGAGGACAGGAGCCACCAGTTAAAGGCATACACCCAGAAAACAAGAATAGAAATCTTCAACAGGGCCAACAGCCATTATGTAGTGTAGCTATCTGTTCGTTCCTTCTTCCAGACACAGAGACGGAGGTTCTTTAATTTGACTTTAATACCAGTAGATCCTTGAAATAGCCCAGGGACCTACTGGTATTTTCCATCCATGCTGCTAACAACTTGTTTTTAAACCCTAGGCACATCTATGTAAATACTATTTTAATCTCTGGTCAGATCGAGCACTTCAGAATCTGGCACCAGATCTGAGTTGAATTAAAGGGTCATTCCTGCATTGATTAAAGGGTAAAAAAAAAGTCAAGAGTCACAAAAGTTTCGTTATACTTGACAAGTATGAACCCCCGGTAAACCTTGAAATGGTAAATTCTCCGAAACAACCTCCTAAATATTGGTACAATAGTCAAAATCAGATAGTTCGAGTAGCTCGAATAAGTAATAAAAAGAGAAGATTGTGATATTCAAATAGCATTGACATAATTATGAGAGTTTTTATTAAATATTAGTGACATATGTTTGTGTGTGTTTGTGTGCCTGCTTAATTAAGGCTGTACTTTGTATGTAATATACATTTAGTGAGTAGCAGCTTTTTAAATAAATGACCTCTTGACTTTGAAAGACTTTATTAGGGTAGTTGTATATTTTGGATATTCACTTCATATAGTTCACAGTTGTCACTAAGTCAAACAGATTTTTCTTCTCAATTGTTGAGAATTGGTAAGATTTGACTCTATGAATGAAAAATATGATTTTTTTCCTTCTACTCCAGTTGATAGAAGTATCTGGTATGTGAGCCCTAGACTACAAAAAATGCAACTGGTCATTTCCCCCACACAGCCAGAAAGAGGATTCATTTGGTAATAGGAGTAAAAAAGTCCAAGGAAGCTGAATCCTAAAATATAAATTGTACCATCTGATGACTTTTTAAAGTACTTTATTTAAATGACTCATGCATTTTTTCTGAGCGTATCAGTAGATTTAAGGTACTTCACGTCTTTTTTTTCATTCCTTTTTTCTCTTTAAGCAAGTATCATAATCGTATTCTAAGTATCTTTTTTATTTTCCATCTCTGAAAAGAACTCACATCTTGGTATGATCCGTGCGGTTTGCATAAAGCCTGATCTAGAGTCTAGCCTTCGTTGGCAGAGATTGTACATAAATTGTACCAAGAGATCAGACTCTAAACAGGTGCAGGATTACAGTTCTGGTTGAATCCCTGCACCAGATATTTATTGGACAGATTTTGATGTGCCATTTTGCACAACTGTATTTTCATAGTAAATAATACCCTTGCTGTTAACCTTGAACTCTTGGGTTTTTTCCTTTTTCAGGAGTTCACCGTGAAAATAAGTAATATCCCTACAATTAAGAAATTTCTTGAGCCTGGTAGCAAGAAGAAGCCTCCTCCGGATGACATCTACGTGAGAACCGTCTACAACCTCTTTATGCCGTAAAACAACTCATGCATCTGTGAGTGAGAGCTAGCCCTAGAGAGTGCTGTGTCCATAGTGTCTTCATTGATGCCAGGCTGCCGTGATCCCAGCTCTGTCTTGGTGCTATGTATAGTCGTTCCTAAGTTGGGTCTTTCATGTCAAGGAGATCTCTTCTAGAAACATCGACATTTTTCTGTCCAGTGAATAATTGTTGTGGGATTTTTTTTTTTTCTAAAGCTTTTTTGGAGAGGCTGACATTTAATTTAGATCTGATCTGAACTCATTTCCTAATAACAAGGACGGGCACACCTCGTGTTCTCCCCTGAGCATCTTTTCTCTTCTTCTTATTACATTCAGAATGCCCTCCAGTCTGTTCCTAATTTTTAGTGTCTAATAAAACAGAATATCTAGTGAATAACTCCCCTCTGAGCTATTATAAATCCCTGGTAGTAATAAATGCAGCTGATAGTAGCCAAAATAAAGAATTTACAAATCATTGCCCTGTTGCTAGAATTTTTAAATTAACTTGTTTGGAATATATAATATATTCACATGGTTCAAAAATCAAAAAAGTATAGAAGGGTGTACCATTGAAAGTGTTCTTTTCACACTGCCACCCAGCTACCCAGTTCTGCTCCCCACGGGCAACATAGTTATCATTTGAATATCCTTCCAGTTATATGGGACACGTGTAAGAAGATATAAATATATGTTACTTTTATCCTCCTACTACCCAAATGGTTATTTGTAGGCTTCAAGTTTTCTGTATTTCAGAACTAAAAGTATGATTTACAAATACTGCTTTAAACATGTGTTGATTTCTGTCTCAGATATTAATTAGGCACCTATTATGTACCAGGCAGGGTGCCAGGAAGAGAACCTTAGAACAGAGCCCCTGCTCTAGAAAAATTGACCACTGTAGGGGAGATAGACGTGTAAAGAGTAGAAGTAATTTTGGAAAAGAAAGAATTGTTGCTTTGGGAGTATCTAATGCTCAGAAATTTAAAAACCGAGGAAAGGCAGGTGTCTGATGAGAGTCTCAGAGAGAGGATATCCCCGACTGCAGGAGGGGCGTTTGGCTGAGATGTGAAAAACACACAGTCATGAGGTGATTGTGAATGCCTGTCACAGTCACTGCAGGTGCCTCGGTGTTGTATTAGAGGAAAATCAAGCATAGATGTCAAGGTAGTTATTTGTGTTCACGCTGTCACCATGCAAGTACTCCATCATCCCGCTGATATTTAGGATTGCTAGAAGAGCAAAGGCTTGGTGGCAGGTGCAGCACGGGGACAGGCCCGAGGAGCAGTGACGGCCTGGCTGCTGCTCCTGAGGGAGAGGCCCAGGCCGGCCAGGCTCCTGAGAGCAGGAGCCAAGGAAAAGAGGAGAATGGGGGCGTGTGGAGTAGAGGCTCACCCTGCCCGAAGGCAGGTCTGCCTTTGCTTCTGGGAGGTGATCTTTAAGCCCTTGGAGCGTCATGCTGAGAGGAGTGTCTTTGTTTGCTGGGGGCTTCAGCCCAGCCAGATAGTAACAGTGATTTAGGGTGAGAGCTTTGAGCCACACTAACAATGCAATGCATGGTGGGGCTTTGGGTCTGAAGGGGCTGGAGACACATCAGCCACGGGGGCGGTCAGTCATGCCACATGATGGAGCCCCAATAAAAACTCTGGACTCAAGGCCCGGGTGGGCTTCCCCGGTTGACACTACTCTATTGTCACACATGGTTGCCAGGAGGAGTCAGTGCTGTCCATGACTCTGCAGGAAGAGGACATCTGGAAGCCCCGTGTTTGGAACCCTCCTGAATTCTGCCCTGTGCATCTCTTCCCCTGGCTGATCTTCATCTGTATTCTCTCCTTGTAATAAACCATAGCCGTGAGTACAACAGCTCTTAGTGAGTTCTGTGAGTCCTTCTAGCAGACTGTCAGACCTGAGTGTGTTTTTTTGGGCACTCAGCGAACCTGCAGATGGTGTCAGAAGTGAGGGCAGTCTTCTGCTCCGCTCCTTCTAAACTCTTCCAGGGAGAGAAACATCTTACACTCATTTGGAAACTAACTTGCACATGGGAACCAGACACCGATTTGATGAAACCTGGGTATCTGTATTATTGAGTTTTGTAGATGGCAGCAGATTTGAGCTATTTTGTGTCACCATTTTGGTGTGATTTTACTATCCCCGGCCATTGCCTGATAATATTAATTGGGGGCCTGCTGTGTAGGCTTGAAGCTATTTTGCAAACATTTCTGTTTGGGTTTTATTTCTCTTAGACACAAGGGGGCCCTCAAGAGAAAACAACCAGGGAGGAAGGTTGGCTTCTGCACTGAGTTACAGGATTAGAGAAAATAAATCCAAGAGGACAAGCTTTCTCTGATGAAGACAGGTTCCCATGGCTCCTGCTCACGATTGTATGACCTTAAATTGTGCAGTTCACTACCCATATTGGAAACAAGTTCCACTCCTTCCCCATCCTGCCTCAGATGGCATGACCCCACTTTTCTCACAATCCCTTTTTGGTCCAGACTGCCACCCTGTAGTCTCACACACCCCACACCTGACCCCACCACTTTCATGAGCCACCAGACTCTGGGTCATAGAGTGGGAGGTCAGGCACTGGATCATTTATCCTCGAAAACGTCAGTGTGCTAGAGTGTTTGGGGCTGAACCCAACAAACGAGACAGGAAGCACGAGCAGAGGGGAGTCAGGAGGCTCACTGACTAGAAGCCACGGCAGGTGCACTAATGCGGTTAAAGTGCACAGCTGTGTGTAAATGGGGCAGTTGCAGAGGCTCTGGTGTCTGGAACAAAAGGGGAAGCTGGATGGTGTGGGGCTCTGGTGTCTGGGGCAGAAGGAAGAGGTGCAGCTCTTAAGGAACCTGGGACCCAGAAGACGCCACTCAGAGAGGCTTTGGCAGACTGGGTGCCCAAAGGAACACCTGACTCTTCTGCCTTCTGCCTGGTTGGGGCCATCTGTTGGGGCCAGCCTCCTGGGGTATGGAACAGAGCAGAAAGTGGGTTCCAGGGGGCCGGGTCTGCAACAAGCCACAACCAGAGTGGGCTTTTGTATTTGCTGCTGTTCCTTCTTGGTGAATATACCTTTTATTCCTTTAACCCAAATTGTCTGTCCCGGCAGATTGCATGGTGGGCTCCTTCTTATTCTGTTGGTCATACATCCCCACCTAAGGGAACCCTCCTCTGACCGTGAGGTCTTAGCATCCCCCTCCCCACACCTCTTCTTCATCATGCAATTGTTATTTTCATAGCATTTGGCACCTTCTGGCAATCTTAGTTGTTTAATCAATGGGAGTCTTTATATTTAAAGTGGCTTTTTTGTAGAAAACGTATGCTTGGGTCTTCACTATTTTAATCCACTCACGATAGTCTCTGTCTTTTAGTTCGTGTGTTGGAGACCATTCTCAGTGACAATCATTATTGATGCAATTGGATTAATATCTACCATGTTTGTAACTGTTTTCTATTTGTTCCCATTGTTATTTCTTTTTTTTTTTTTTTGTCTTCCACTCTTTTTCTGCCCTCTCTGGTTTTAATTGAGCATTTCATATGATTCCATTTTCTCTCCTCTCTTAGCATGTCAATTATAGCTCTTTTTTAAAAAAAAGAACATTTTAGTGATTGCCCTGGAATTTGCACTATATATTTACAAGTAAGTTGAGAGAGCTTTCAAATAATGCTATAACCGCTTCATGGGTGGTGCAGATACTTATAACAGAATATTCCCAGTTGCTCCCTCCCATCCCTTATAACACTGCTGTCATAGAGTTCACTTATCCATAAGCCATGCTCATCTGGTACATTGTTGCTATTATTACCTTGGACACACTGCATTTATTTGTTTATATGTTTATCCTGCCTGTCTTCCACCCTAGAATGTAAGCACTACAGGTGCAGGAATGGGTCTCTTGTGTCTACCCTTGGAGAGCCAGGGCCTAAAACAATGCCTCGCACAGAGTGGTACTCAGTAAATATTTGTTCAGTGAGCCTGGAAATTTTGCTTTCGTCTTGCTTCTGTAACTTGATGTGCTGTCTAATACACAAACAATGGATGTAAAGCGAAGCTCCAGAGGTGTGTACAGACTGGAATTCTTATTGGCTAATCCCTTGATTGCGCAAAGCTTTCAATTGGAAAGAAAAAGGCTGTAAATCCTCGCTTAATGCGCCCACAGCACTCCAGACGAGAGCAAGGCAGAGAGAAGGTGAGTGGAGAAGTTCTTGTGTTCTCTTTTTGGGCTTGGTGGGATTTTTGTGGCCAAATTTACAGTTTATAGTCGGCAGTTGTTTTAACTTTGGGATTAATTTAATGACTATTATTTCTAAACTTGCCCATATCAAATAAAAGGACCGGGTCTTTTTTCTGCCAAGTAGGTCCGTAAATGAAAACGAGATAGCAAATCTAGACGAGGCCTTTTGGAGGTTTTCATTGCCTATGCATGATATGCATAACATCAGACATTGAAATGCCCCCACACCCATATCACACACTAAATGTAATTTCAGAAATTCGTGTGTAAGAGTCAAATGGTGTTTTAGTTGATTGGTTGACAGAACATGCTTAGTAGAATTTAAACCTTTATAATTTTTGAGCCATTACATTTTTTCCTCCTCAAGCAAATCTCATATTTTTGTACACAGTTGAAAAGAACTGTGAACCGCTCACTCTGTGCCATGATGCCCGAGGGTCAATTAAATCTCCTGCATGTAGTATCTTTTCCATGTGTGTTTGGAAGATTTAATCCAAATGGTCTGACACTGGGGGCTTCCTCTGGGGTCCTGCATCTCCAGGGGGCTGTGCCCAGTTGGAAAGCAGGAGTCTCTCAGTCAAGCCCTGACAGGTTTTTCTAGGACTTGTCCCATTCTTTAAACAGCAACGGGCCGTGTGGTGACTCACTTTGTGGTAACTCACCAAGCGGCCTCAATGACCTGGGTAGATGAAAGTCTCTTTCTTGATTCAGGTATATATATATTTAAAAAAAATTCTTTTTACTTTGAGTTCATAATAGTTTACGTCGACTCAGGTATATTTTTGACTTAAGTAAGTTTGTAGGCCTTGGGCATATAAATCACCCTCTTCTGGGTTTTGGGAACATGAATCAATCCATTAGACTCTAATGGGAAGGAAATTTAGTTTCTGAAACTGAAATATAGGGCTCTCTGGAGAAGACGCTTCCCATATGAGCTTGGAATCGAGCAACTGCCTTAATCATCTTGTTACATCAGTAACGCCTAGTCGCTCCCCACCAAGGAATGTTCTGCTGTTTGTGTGTAAGAATGTCCGATAAATACCTGAGCTCTTTTTTGGAGGGGCTAGTTCCATGTAGGAGATTTTCCCCGATAACCTGTCAAATCCAGCTAATTAAATATTTTGCTAATGTGTCATATGTTAGAAAAATAGAAGAGAAATCATATGTAATCAATTAAAAATGGGATGTAACTTTAAAGCTATATGTAAGGTATCCTTCAGAGCTACGCTGAAAGTCTTTGTTCTACTGTTAATATTGCTGTCTTCCAGCTTCAACACGTTCTTCTCTGAAGCATTATGTACTCAGACCTCAAATGCTCTCATCTCTCCAAACTAGCAGAATTAAATTTTATGAGGAAAAGAGGGTTCTGTGGGAGGGTTTTTTGTCTCAGTGACAAATTTTGGTCTGTTGGTTGTGATCCATTCTGATAGGCCATTCTGATCCATTAGAGAAACCAAAGAGAACCTTAAGGATATTCCTATTGATAATGGATCTAAAATTGACATCTTGTATTCTGGCCCCAAACATCTGCTAAAACTGGCAACCTCATAAATGAACCCCTTGAAATTTCCATTATCTAGAAAATTCAGTAGAAGCCTGCTCTAACTGAAATCGAGAAAAATGTGTGTTGTTTTGCTTAAATTATCCAGAATGACAGTTAACGTTGTCAGTAGAATTTCACCCCCACTCCCCCCAATAATTGGCTGCTTTCTTAACATGGGTGCTCAGCAGCTAGGAACAGAGGGCAAAGAATGAAGACAAGGGAAGAGAAACAAGATCAGAAAGACTGTTAAAACTGGAAGAAACGAAGGAGATTATCGGAGTCTGAACCAACTCCTCGTTTTACAGTTTGGGAAGCTGAGGTCTAGTCTGGGTCTCCCCACGCGCTGGAACCCACATGTCTGGCACTTTGTGAAACTTGGAAATCGAAGGCCTCACATCATAGGAATTCCTCTCTTAATAAGGGGTCAATAAAAATGATCTTACCTGGGGAATTTACTTATAATTCCCCCCAAATCCCTCTCCCCTTCCCTTTCTCTGTTCTTAGCCACACACACTCCAGCACTTCACCATTTGCTTTTCCTGCTTGTTAAACCTGTGCTGCAATTTGTGCCTGCTCAGCATTCCCCAGGGAAGAAAAACCCAGGGCCACGCACGCAGTCCCCAGGTGCAGCTGAGTTGTTTTCACTCTAGACCCAGCTTCTCAAACTTTATTTTCCTGTGCAAGTGAATCACTTGGGGATCTTGTCTGAAAGGCAGACTCTGATTCAGTAGATGTGGCCCAGGGACTGAACCCGCGTGTCTCACCAGCTCCCAGGGGAGAATGTTGCTGGACCCAAGTCACACTTCCGGAGAATACCTTCCACTCCTTTCAGAAGCAAATTTGACTTCTTTTCCCACGTATGAATGTTGTTGCGATCTTGAGATAAAGATGTGTGTGTGCATCTGTGTGTGTGCGTGTGTGGGGGGCATTTTTTGAGTCCTTACTGTGTTTAGCAATTTGCACACTTTGTCTTATTTCCACCTCAAAACTGACCAAAATGAATTAGGAACTATCAGCCTTGGTGTACCAGTGAGGAAACTGAGGCGCAGAGAGGTTAAAAAGCTTGCTCCAGTGAGGGGTAGAGCTGAAGTTTGAACCTTGGTCTTTGTTTTTACTGGTATCCAGGGTCTAACTCAGATACATGCTCTTCCACATTTTCTAAAAGATTTTGGGCATACCTGTTACCCAAGGACCACGCTCTGACTATCCAAAAGTCATCATCACTGCTTTCTGCTCACCCCCCTTGGCCATGAGTCCCTGGGCTCTGGGTGGGGGAGTGCAGCCCACTGCTCGCCTCAGGTGAAGCTGCACCCAGGAGAAGTGAGAGGTGGGACTCCATTCCCAGTGTCATCAGACCCAGGCGGGCAGCCTTCCTGGTGAACCAGGTTTTTTTAATTTGGGACACACCTGTTGGCCAAAATCAGCGGCACAGAAAGGAGAGCTGCAGCGATGGGCATGAGCTTGTACTCAGCTTGCCCACTTGGGTCCTGGGTCTTCCAGGAGCTGGGTTCACAGCGTTTGCATTTGGGGTGAAATCAGAAAGCACAGCTCCTCTGTTCCCTGCTGCTTCATTTTCCATGGACGGAATGAATTTTTCCATTGCACCTGTTCTTTTAAGCTTTGACAATCTACTTTTTTTAACAATGAGATTAATTGGGTTTACTATTTGAAGCGTAATTAGACTTGGTCTTCCGTATTACCAAGCTGTGGTTTATCCAAATCTTTGTTTAAATTCATTGGAGGTCAAGGAAAAAGGATTAAAGGACTTGGTTTAGACCCTTAACCTATAATGCCATGGGACAGGGAGGGGTGGGGCTCAGACAAACAAACATACTTTCATACAGTCATGTGTTATTTAATGATGGGGATATGTTCTCAGAAATGCATCGTTAGGTGATGTTGTCATTATGTGAACATTATAGAGTGTACTTCCACAGACCTAGATGGTGTAGTCTACTGCACACCTAGCTGGTGCTAATCTTATGGGACCACCATTCTGTATGTGGTCCATGGTTGACTGAAACATCATTATGTGGTGTGTGACTATATACCCATTCCTTAAGGCTCTGTTCAATTTCTGTAATACCACATTGTATTTTCATTAAACACATTTCCTTCTGACTTACCTCTTGATAGTCTGGATGTTTCCATCACCAGGTATAAGGTTTGTAAGGGTTTTGATGGCGGGAGCTACATGTTATTTATCTATGAATGCCTGGAGTGCAGAACCTAGTATGCTATCCATAGTAGGAGCTCCATAAATGATGTTGATAGAAAGAATGGAAGATTGAACACAAAAATCTTAACAAGTCTGGGAACTGGTATCTCAGTGACACGTGGAGGTAACAGCCACCATGTGTCTGGGGTAACATTGGATTGTTTCCACAGCAGATGGAAGAACTAAGACGTGCCCCTGCCTTCAGGAGTTTGCCACCTCGTCAGAGTTTTGCAGTGTAGGATCCAGGGGGAGCAGTTGGTTTTGGAGTGTGAGACTGTAAGAGGTATTGGGCTCCCTCTGTGCCCTCAGCTATTCTAGAATGAACAGCTCCTCCTGGAAGGGGTTGGGGTAGGGACTACGTCCTGCTGAGGATCTTTTAACAAGCTCCAGTTGGGTCCTCCAGCATTCATCTGAGAGCCCAATTTAGAAGGCCACGCAGCTGAGGCCGAGAGATGGAGAATGGGGGCTGCTTGGCCAAAGCCAGCGATTTATGGGGCACACAAACATTTGTACAGATTTTTACAAGAAGGAGTGACTAGTTATCCTTCTAGAGGCTGGTTATTACCAACAAGAGAACACAGTTTCCTTCTTTCAGACTGGAAAAGGGGCATTGCAGACCACGGTCCTGTTGACCTGAGGCGGGGTTTCCTTCATCCTCACTCTGCTCTTCTAGGGCTCTGTTGGCGCCAGGGAAGCCTTGGAGGTGCTGGCCGGGTGGGGAGTGATCCTGTCCCTTGTAATCCAGCTCCAGATCCCAAAGTTACTGCCTTCAGTCTCCTATGTGCCTTGAGAATGTGCAAGGTTCGGGCAGAAGTGAAGTGGAGGAAACTGGTGGGTGCAAAGGTGTTACATAAAATTCCAAAATACGCTTCCACACAGCAGCGAGCTACAAAAATGCTCCATTTATGCTCATAATCACAAAACAAAGGCAAAAGTCACACCAGATTTTACTTTTTACATGTTTTGTATTACAATATTGAGTCCAAGTCAAATTACCAGAGTTTTAGCTCCCTTTTACAGATTTCAATTGCATTTGCAACAATCACTTACAAATCACATAAAACGAATGGACAAGCCAATGTTAGCATAAACACTCTAAGAAAGCAGTAAATCCGCTCATCCTTTAAAGAAGCGTGACCCACTTGATATGGGTCAGATATTGTGGTACGTATCTTCTCTATTACTTTATTCCATCCTGGGCCTTCACAGTAACCCTCAGAGGTGGGCAGCACAACCATCCCCTCATTTTAAGGATGAAGAGACTGGGGTGGAGAGCAATGGAATGAGGTTGTACGAGAGAGGACTCACAACTCTAAAGCCCAGAGCCCCCTGCCTTTGAAAGATGAGGATAGTCACACCCCTTATTTCCGTTTGAGGACATAATGTGGATCCCGTGCCTGGCACAGAGGAGGCTATAAGTGAGAGGGGCCAGAACCACACCTGCACCCTCAGCTTTCTCAGCGTTCATTCCCTCAGCTATGAACCCGCATTCAGGAGGTTACACCCCAAGGAGCACAGTTTCCCCCCTCACCCGGAGACTCTGCCCCCCACCTCCAAGGAAAATGCTACATTCCTCTCTGGTCCGCAGACTCTGACCACTTGTCCGGTTTAGTCCCACACCTCCGAGGGCCCGTATCGCTGCTGCCCTTTGAGTGTTGAGTCTGTGGTGCCAGCAAGAAGCTTGCCCCATTCTTGATCGTTTTAGGGTGGCATCTTGCTGCCGCTCCTTTTGTCTGAGAGATTTCACTATCAGGGCGCCAGGCACGGTGTTCGTTCCTCACTCTTGATTGGGTCTTTAGGATAAATACAGTGTCTTTTGGAGCCTCCGAGTCATGACAGTAGCCGTGTGAGGTACGGATCTCCTGAAGGCTGTCTAGAGCTGAGAGTTTTAATCTCTTTGGGTTTCAAATCACTAAGAGAATAACCAGACAGAAGAAAGACCATGCAGCCTGCATTTGAAGGGACCACTGCTTAGAAACAGATTTCTGGAGGCTTGTGGGCTTTCTGTGGGTCTTGTGACAAGGAGGTAGAAAGTACTATTAGTTCGCTTCATTATGGCTGTACTCGCTTTGAAACACTGTGGGTCCCCGGGGGTAATGCTCTCCAGTTACAGCTGAGGGCGTGAAGGCGGACAGAGGTTTAGTGAATGGGCCTAAGGTTACGCAGCTTCTTGGCGGCCAGGTGGTCCTGTCTAGGTCTGCGTCTGTGCTTGTCCCAGCACTCAGGTTTTGTGACGGAAATGAAAGAGTTCCCAATTCCCACCGAACATTTCCATCCAAGCAGGCCCAGCTCCTTGCCACTGTTAAAAAAGATTTTCTTTTGCAGGGACATCCGTGAAACCATCATAGTAACTCCTGGTTCCTTTCTCAAAACATCAGAGGCAATCTCTCAAATCTACAGAACACTTTGATAGATGTAGGTTGTTCTTTCTTTTTTCTTAAATTGTACAGGAGAGTGTAAACCATTTATGTACAGCTTAAATATTAATTATAAAGACTAATTACTAATTCTGATTAAGAAATGGAACATTATTAGCATTCCAGAAGCCCCCATGCTCCTCTTCAATCGCAACCTCCATTCTCCTCACTAGACATAACCAGCATCCTGCTTCTGGAATAATTATTTTCTTGCTTTTCTTCATAGTTTTGCCCCCTGTGTATGCCTTCCCAAATAATAGTTTTGTTTTGCCTGTCTTAGAGTTGTTATAAGTGGAGACACACCATACAGTGTGTGTTAATTTGTTCTTTAAACATATTCTTCCTGTTTTGCCCTTCAGAAGACCTCGAGCCAGGAGTCATGGCGGCCAAGCCCAAGCTCTGTTACTTTCGTGGCAGGGGCAGGATGGAGTCAATCCGCTGGCTGCTGGCCGCAGCTGGAGTGGAGGTCGGTTCCTGATTGGGAAAAGTAAGGAGGGTAATTTGGGAGAGATTGAAGTGGTCCTCTTCCCCCTTCAAAGTTCAGGAGGATGCTTTCAGACTGTACCCACTCTTTCCCTTTCCAACAGTCTTCTTTGGTAAGAGTTGAAGGAGGGATAATACTCCTCTGTTTAAGGAGGGGTTGGAAGGTAGAGCCTAGAGAGGCGTTATGGAAGCTTTGTAGGGGCTGGTAAGATCATGGTGGATCGTAAGACAAAGGAGAGAGAGGAGACCCACATCTGGAGCTTCCTCTTCAATGGGACCAGCTGATTTCCCGGCGGCTTTTCACCTCTGCCTTGGCTCCTCAGTCTTGTTCTACTTGTGGCTGCCAACTGGAGACTTAGGCGTGGCTGCAGTCTGGCCTCCCCTCGAACCCTCCTCTGAAAGGGCTGCCCCATGGAGCTCTTTCTTTAACTCTCAATTCCCTCTCCACTGACTTTTCCATAGATTTTCACAAGTGCTTTCAAGTTGTTTTGTTTCATGCAGGTGTAGACTCCTTTTTCCTGTTTGAATGTCATCTCCTCCAGGACAAGGATTCATTACCTTCTTTCTTTTGTTCACCTGATCCTACCCCCATCTCAAGGTTTAGGGGAGGAAAAAGTCACTCTTTCACACAAAAGTTTTAGAAGCTCCATCAATAAATTATGAGAACCCCGCCTGGGTAATGATCCTTGGATCCCTTTCATTGAATATGTGAGCATTAAAGAGAAATTTAATTTGTCTTGATATGGAGGGAGAATAACACAGAACAGAGAGAATAAAGAAAAGAGAGGAAAGGAAAGAGGAGGGGTCAATGGGGAAGTTGGAGAAAAGGACAAGAGTTTGGAGAGAGGGAAGAGTTGAGGTGAAGAAAAGGAGAAATGTGGATGGGGGCTTGGGGATATCCTTTAAGTTGACAAAAACCAAAAAGGGGTGCCAATCTCATGCTAGTCTAAGCTAATCTAAACACATACTCTGTCAGCATTTTCAGCTATGTGGTAGTTGATAGTTTTGTGAATCCTTTTAAATTTTCATGCAGGAAGCCATTGGGCATTTTATATCGTGGGCATTTCTCTCTTTCTCTTTCTCTTTTTGAGGACCTGTAAGTGATAACAATGTCTTTATCCTTTATCTAGTTTGAAGAAGAATTTATTGAAACAAGAGAACAATACGAGAAGTTGCAGAAGGGTGAGCCTACATTTATTCAATGTTATCTTATGGGGAAAAAATGAAATTTGTTTCTAGGAAGTATTCATTTCATTATAGAACACAGAGCTCTAGAGTGACAACTATTAAAAAGGCGAATAGTGTGACTGCTGACATTGACTTTTTGCTGTGTCCCTGGCACAGAGCTAAATTTGTCATCTGCGATGTCTCCTTAGCCTTCGTAAAAGCTTATCAAGTAGGTATGACGCTGGCCTCAACTAGATAGGATGGCATGGGTTGACCCAGTGCCAATTGGTTCAATACTCCCCATCCCACCGAAGAAATCTTTAAAAATTCTTAAATAATGATCCAGTGGGTTGGAGGGGAGGGAACAGAAGGAAGGGAATTTTACCTAAGATATTCTCCAGTTCTCATGATTCATATCCACTTGTTCTTGGTGGTTTTAATAGATTAACAGCAAGCATTTTATCAGGTCACAATTGTAGAATCAAGACTGTAGAAATTTTATTAAATTTGGATCGAGGCAGTAGTTCTTAGTCTTTACAATTCCTCAGAAAAAATTCTCACACTTAGAGAAAAGACTAGTACTTTCATGGTACTTCTTAAACTCCTAACGACCATAATGTTATTTTCCTTATCTAAGGAAACCTGGGTGTCCTCATTTTTGCTGATAAACAGTCATGAAATTAACACAAATTATTTTTTAAGAAAGACATTCGAATACTAGTCAGCAGATCTGCCGTTTATAAACTGTATGACTTTGGGCAAGGCTTTTAGCTTGTCTACATCCTGTCTCCTGACCATAAAGTAAAAATAATCTTTATCTTCCTATATTGCAATGTACCAGTAGATCTCATTGAATGGGGAAGGCCCACTTACTCCTTCTTCAATTCTTGTCCAGGAACTTTATTATCTGAAATCCCCATGAAGCTCTCCTTCCTCTTTGTTTCTGCCCGACTCCATCCCAAATAAGGACAGTCACTTGTCCATGGTAGGGGTTAAATACATATGTATTGAATCAATAAATGACTGTCTCTCCGTAAACTCTCTCATGATCATTCCGTTAGGAAGTGCTCTCTAACAGCCTCTGAAATCTTCCACCCCTTCCTGAGTCTATGATGCTGCTGTCGTGCTTGGGACGCCCTCCTGGGCGTTACTGTTGTTTGTGAACAGGAGGCAGAGAGGGACCGCAAGGGAGCACTGGACCAGGAGTCAGGAGGCCCACTTCCGTTGGCTTGGCTTTCCCCCAACTGTGTGAGTTTGGGAAGTCACATTTGCCTCCCTTGGCCTCCACAGTACTGTCGTCTATAATATGAACGAATTGAACTAAATCATCTCAAAGATCCTTTCCTGTACTCTTGACCTGAGATTTTTAAAAAAAATCCATCTGAAGAAGCTCGTCCGCTCCTACAAGCAGGGGTCATTTCTAATGGATGTCTGCATCACTCTGAAGCAGCAGCACAGAGCTCAGCTTCAGATGCTCGTTTAATATTGAACAAAGGTAGAAATACCTTTAGGCAATGGCGGTTTTGCAGTCTCTCCATTAGTAATAGTACTGGTATTTCCAAAGCACGATCACAAGCTTGATCTTATTCTTACTCGAAGAAACGCAGTAAGATGGGCAGGACAGATACTGTTGCAGATCAGAAAATAGGCTCATGGAAGTCAGAGACTTGCCTAAAGTCATCCAGCTAGACAGGGTCCCTGGCTCCCTGGAAAGCTGTCACGGGTTCCTCAGTGGTATTCTCCCACCATCTTTGACTGCCTCTCGTTGAGTCAGGTAGGAGCAGTAGAGGATGTTGGGGAAATTAACTGTGGCCTTTGCCAATGCACTGGTGAGGTCTGATTCCTAGTCTGGGTAAAGATCCTTATTCTCAGAATGCACAGGTGTGAATGAAATGAAAAGCCTGCTCATTTCCTCAAGATCCCATGAGAAGAGCACTATTTGTAGGGTGTCTTTGAATGCATTATTCGTATAGGCAGTCACTCACCAAGAAGAGAATTTGATTTTACTGAACATTGGTTATTGATGGTATGTGATGTTTTACTTATGTTTTCTCATTTCATCCTTTTAAAATCCTGCTAGGTAGATATTATTAATATTTTAGGGAAAAGGAAGCTGAAGCTCAGATAAGTCATTTGCTTAAAAGTCACATGGCTGGAAAGGGCTAAACCTGGCATTCAGACCCAAGTTTGCCAGCGTTCTTGCTGTGATGTCCTGATGCTGTGCAGACCTAGACTGATACCTCTTGTACTTTTTAAAGATTCAGATTTTTTAAAGAATTTACTCTACCCCTGAATCAGGACATCTGGGAGATAGGGTGAGTATTTTTAACAATGTAGCTCCCCCAGATGATTCTTATTGACCCTAAACTTTGGGAACCAGAGCACCTATACTATGACATAATCATAGTAAATGTAGAAAGCCTTAAATGATCACGATTAACCAACCCATAAAAATGCATGAAACCATCAAGAAAATCTCAGATTTTCCGTGAAGCAAATGGTCGGCATTTCCTCAACAGCTGGAGTCTCTAACTCCCCACTTTGTATTTAGAATCTTGTGTATAATATAGTCTGTTCTCTGGTGGTCTCTTACTTACTCGACCAATACTGATTTAGACCCTTTGCTCTTGCCCTCCTAAATAATTATTTTCATTTTTTATTCCAGCTCGTCTTATTAATTTGTAGTTAGAGTGCTAAGATCGTCCTTGTTTTGGTAGTTTCCTTATTTTTACCCTAATGCTATAGTTGAATATTTGCTATCCTGTTCTGGTTCTATCCATCGGTCTCCCTAGTCTGTGGCTTGTGTCCCCTTTCTCCCTTTTTTCTTTTTTCAAGTATGAGAGCCTTCTCGAGGATTTCTTGTAATGGAGGGCTTTTAGTTACAAATTCCCTTAACTTTTGTTTGTCTGGAAAAGATTTAATTTCTCCCTCATATCTGAAGGAAATTCTTGCTGGATAGAGTATTCTTGGCTGAAGGTTTTTATCCTTTAAAGCTTTGAATATATCACTCCATTCTCTCCTAGCTTGTAGGGTTTCTGTAGAGAAATCCGCTGACAGTCTGATAGGGGCTCCTTTATAGGTTATTCTCTTTTTTTCCCTTACTTCCCTGAGTATTCTTTCCTTATCATTCCTATTTGCCAACTTTACTATTATGTGCCTTGCGGTGGGTCTTTTTACACTGACAAATCTAGGAGATCTAAAACCCTCCTCTACACACATTTCTCTGTTGATCCCTAGATTTGGGAAGTTCTCTTCAATAATTTCATTAAGCACACTTTCTGCTCCATTTTCCTTTTCCATATTCTCGGGAATTCCTATGATCCTTATGTTCTTACTCCTCATTGAATCCATTATCTCTCGGAGATTTTCCTCATTTTTTTTAATTCTTAGTTCTCTTTCTTCCTCTGTCTGGCGCCATTCAGCCTGTCTGTCCTCGATTATGCTGATTTGCTCCTCTATATTGTCTACACGGGCATTCAGGGAATTCGTATTCTGTTTTATCTGGTCCATTGTGTTTTTCATCTCAAGTAATTCTGTTTGATTCTTCTTTATGATTTCAATCTCTTTTGTGAAGTAACTCCAGAACTCAGCTTGTTTCTCTTTCTCTCTACCTCATTGAGTCTTTTGATTATAGCAGCTCTGAATTTATTATCACTTAGTTTACCTAATTCCAAGTCCTCAGGACTTAATTCTGTGTTTTTATTGTTTTCCTTCTGGTCTGGGGCTTTTATAAATTGCTGGATGGTAGAGGAGTGGTTTTTCTCATGGTGGTAGAATTCAGTTGCAGTTACAGCCTGTCGCCACTAGATGGGGGTCGAGAGCGGCGTGTTAGCTCTCCGCCCTGGAGCAAGATGGCTGCGCCCACTGGCTTTGCTGTGGGGGAGGGGTTGTTACACGCGCCAGTCTGGGTTCAGATGAGTTCTGTTCTCTGGTCTCCCGAGGCCCTTGATTTATAGGGTCCCCGCGGACGGAAGCTTACCCCCGTCAGCGGGTCTCCACTGAATCAGCGGTAGGAGTCCTGGATGATCCCCCGGTCGCGTGGCCCCTCCCCCGCTCCTTCCCGACCCGGGCCGCAGCGATCGCAGACTCTAGGGGAGGGAGCAATGTTCTCTCCTACCGTTCCGGTGCCTCCGAAGGTGTAAAGCTAGGTTTATGATCTCCTCCTTCTTGGTATTGTAGGTCTCTAACGAGCTGGCATTATGTTTATTCTCTGAAATTCAGTTCTTCCAATCTTTTGTTGTATTTTGGAGGGGAGAGAATCCCGGGTCAGCTCACCCCGCCATTTTGCTCCCTTTAACTCCCCACTTTGGATGAAACTAGAAATCACTCAATGAAATTAGAAGTGAACCCTCCTGCAGGCTCACCACAGCCAGGGAAGGAGAGCATCTCAACCTCTCTTTGCTTGAACCATAGATGGACGCCTGCTTTTCGGCCAAGTGCCTCTGGTTGAAATGGACGGAATGGTGCTGACACAGACTAAAGCCATCCTCAGCTACCTTGCTGCCAAGTATGACTTGTATGGGAAAGACCTGAAGGAGAGAGTCAGGTACCAGAGTGTTCACGCCTCTACTTGATTCTTTTCCAGGCTCTGTCATCCTACACCAGCTAAGACCTAGTTCAGGTGCAGCCTTTCAGCCTGGACTGAGGGGAGGAGGCAAGAGGAATGAACACAGGGGAGAGGACCTTGCTACACCCGGCATGTCTTGTGCAGAGCTCTGAATAAATACTCCAGATCTCCCCTCCTAGGGGTTTGCAGTCAACATTCTCATAATCTCCCCTCACTCCTAAGAAAATGTCTTCTCATAAGATAACCTGGTAAACTTTTCTGCATGAAGGTAGACATGAATGACTCAGCAAACAAATACATATTGAGCATTGTAGCAATGATCTACGGCCACAAATAATGCCGTATAACATATCTTCTTGAAACACAGTGACTTAAATCAGCAAGCATTTCTTTTTGCTCCCCAGACTATGAGTCATCTGGGTGGTCAGCATATCTGGGCCAGGCTTGACTTATCCTGGCTGGTCTCACTCATATGTCTGGTCAACTAGTAGTCAGCCACGAGGCTCTGGTTTTGGCTATTGGCTGATGATTGGTTGGGCGGCAAATGGACCATGTGTTTCTCATTCTCTCATCCTGAGCTTGTTCTCGTGGCAGCTAGGCAGGGTTCTAAGAGAGAGAGGGAAAGCACACAAGGCCTCAACTTAGAGGTACTCAATCCTTTCACATGTTCCTTTTTTCAATAAACATTTCCAGAGACCCTACTGTACCGTGGTCTCCTGGCTGGTACTGGTTCCAGAAATCATTCCTAAGCATGGAAGCTTGGGGGAGAGGGAATCAAGTTATTTGCCCCAATATCCATTTATACCATACAAGTGGCAGATTAGGGAACTCCATACTCAAAGATTCCTCTCGGAATGAGAGTCCCATGTTGACTTGTCAGGGTCGACATGTACGCTGATGGCACCCTGGACCTCATGATGATGATTGCTCTGGCTGCATTTAAAACCCCTGGGGAGAAAGAGGAGAATCTTGCTTTAGTCGTGAAGAAAGCTAAAACTTGTTACTTCCCTGCCTTTGAAAAGGTAAGCTATAAGGTTCTGGGACTTTTACATTTTCTGTTACTGATAAGAATATTTAAAGAGTGAATGTCTGAAAAGACAGAAGCAATGTTAGAGCTTTACTGCATTTGGACCAAAACTTAAATAAGGATTCCAGACATGCATAATTATGGAACCTCCAACAAGACAGGATTGCAATAAACCAAGTTCAATGAAAGGATACGGCATTTCTATTCTGATTTTTAAAATAAGCCATCAGCCCAAGGCCTCACCACCTCCAATTCACTGCGTCCGTCAGATATTTCTTTGGGTTTAATACTGTAGACTAATCATGGCTCATGTAAAAGACGAAGTCTCTTAAAGTTACAGTTTTTCTGAAGTCGTCTTGGAGTGAATACTAATTACAAAAGTACCGTCCGTACATCTTGTGAGGTTCCAGACACTAAAGGACAGCCTGTGACATGATGAGAAAGTCAGTTAGCACAGAGTTCCGTAGCTAAATGTTTGCAGGGCAAAAGAATTCTGTGGTATTTATCTTCAGTCTTAGCCTGGGGAAACAATGATCACTTAATAACTATAATTAAGGGTTCTGCTAGGACCTCACAGTACTAGACAAGCTCAAGGAGTTCGTGTTTATTTGGGAACAATGTACAATGTTGTTGAAACACCTTCCATCTAAAAAAATTAATATGATTATTTGAGTCACAGAGTTAAAGTTATAGAGCTAAAGAGTGCTTTATCGTAGCACAGCCTTTGAAATCTGTGTGCCTGATCCGGTACTTCCCAAGACTTTTAAAATCACTTGTTTGTTCAAATCAGGATCAAATTCAAGTTCATTCATTGTAATTAGTCAGTTACATGTCTTCAGCCTCTTTTCATCTGTAAGGTGTCTCTTTGCTCTCTCTTTTTCCTCTTGCATTTGTCGTATCCAGTTTCCCACAGTCTAGGATTTTACCAATTGCAACATACACACTTATTCTCTAGGTTTCCTGTCAACTGGAAATTAGAATTAGAAGCTTGGTCAGGTTCAGGTTTGATGATTTAGGCCAGACTTTCACAGGGAGTGCTGCGTAGGTCATCGGAAAGCACACGTTGTCTGGTTGTCACTCTTCTTGTGACGTTAACATGATTGATGATCAATGTCTAGACCCACAGATTTATTAGTGGGTGCAAAGTGTTCACATCCCAATCCTGTTAGTCTCTTTTCACTTATTAGCTGGAATACTTTCAACACAATGAATCTTCCCCACATAATATATTTGGTCACCCTGGGGTATGGTTGATATAGGAAAGGAGGATAAATGCTTTTTTACTTTTTATTCACCACTTTTCAAAATGTGTTAGTTATCTGGCATCTTCAAAGGAGACCAATGAGTTTATTAATTTTTTTATTCCTGTTTTTATTCTTTAAATAATGTTAGGATACTATTTATTTATTAAGTACTTTATGAGAAGCAGATACTCATTATATAAAAAAGGGGACAATACAGAAATGTAGAACATGAAAGAAATAAATCGCTACTACTCTTACCACCAAAAGATAAATGTCAGTTATTTTCATGTATTTCCTTCCAGTCTTTTCACTATAATAAATTTTTATTTACTTTCAGATTTTTGTATGATCCACTTATACTGAAGATAATTCCACCTGTTATTCTATTATTTTAAATATTTTCGAAAGCAGAACCTACCACTTGATACTAACAAATGTCAATACTTTTGTTTTCTTGCTTATAAACGTTTTTTGTCTCCTTAAAACAAATCTATACGGATGGCTAAAATCTCCTTTGGACTGTACCCAAATATTATATCCCTTCCTTTCTCCCTCTCTGAGGCAACCACTTTTAGGAATTTGACGCAGATTAGTGCTGTCCATTTTTAAAACAGAGACTTGGCTCTGGGTTGTTTAAAAAATTTTTACATAAGTGGATCCTAAAACATTTTTACATACACAGTACCATACTGTAAGTTTATTGTCCAATTCCTTTTTTCAATCAACCCTATATTTTCGAGTCATATAGACAAATGTTTTATCATTATTAATATATTTACATTTACTTCTTTCATTTTATTCTGTTTTCTGTTTGCAAATACAAAGCTTTTCTTTGCCGTTCCCTTCCCTCCTTTTCTCCGTCCTGTTAGCTTGATCAGATTTTCTTTATTCCCAATTTTTCTTCTAATGGTTTGGAAGATAAACATTTTTTTCTTAAACTATGAGTGACTATCCTCCTCTCAATAAGACAAGGCTTTAACTTCCCTCCAAACTTCTCCTGTCTTCTTCTTTTTATGTTTTTGTTGAGTAATATTTTAGATACAACTTGATTTTATACTCCTTCAATGTCTTTTTTTTTTTTTTTTTTTGGTGAGGAAGATTGTCCCTGAAATAACAGCTGTGCCAATCTTCCTCTATTTTGTATGTGGGATGCTGCCACAGCATGGTGGGATCCCAAACTGTGAACCCTGGGCTGCTGAAGCAGAGTGCGCGAACTTAACCACTACACCACTGGGCCAGCCCTGCACCCTTTGTTTTTTGATAGTCAAGACTTATGTAGACGTGTTAAGGGATTTCTTTGTTCACCATTGCTCCTTGCCTCTCCTGGCTTCCTTCTGGGCATATTTTCCTTCTACATGAAGAGTATTTTTCAGAGTTTTCTCAGGAAGGGTCTGTAAGTGTTTAGCTCTTTCAGTCTCTGTCAGAAAATATCTTCATTTTACCTTTACTCTTAAATAATTATTTAGATGGTTATAGAATTCTAGATTAATAATTATTTTCCTTAACGCTTTGAAGATATTATTACCAGTGTCTTGTGGCCTTGATTGCCACTGTTTAGGAGTCTGCTATTAGTGTGGTTATTTTTCCTTTGGTGGTGCTGTATTGATGTTTTTTAGACTTTATCTGATATACTTTCAATGCAGTGTGTTCACTTCTGGATTTGTTTTTATTAATCTGCTTGGAGTTCCTTTTCAGTCTGAAGATTCTCCCTCTTTTTAAAGATTTCAAGAAATTCCTCCACCAAATAACTCTTGAAGATGGCTTCTTCCCTGTTCTCTCTCTCTCTTTTTTTTTTCCTAAGGAAGATTAACCCTGAGCTAACATCTGCCAATCCTCCTCTTTTTCTGAGGAAGACTGGCCGTGAGCTAACATCCATGCCCATCTTCCTCTAATTTATATGTGGGACACCTACCACAGCATGGCTTGTCAAGCGGTGCCATGTCCGCACCCGGGATCCGAACCAGTGAACCCTGGGGCTGCCGAAGCGGAACATATGCACTTAACCACTTAACCACCCAGCTGGCCCCTCCCTCTTCTCTCTATGCTGTCCTCCTGGGCTCCTGGTACATACATGTTGGAGCTTCATTCTGTTTTCCGTGTGTCTTAACTTCTCTTTCATATTTTCAGTATCTTTATTTCTGTGGGTTTCCTCAGATCTATCTGCCAAATGCCTGATATTCTTTTTCAACTTCTCCATTGAGTATTTTTCTTTTTTTTGAGGAAGATTAGCCCTAAGCTAACATCTGCTGCAAATCCTCCTCTTTTTGCTGAGGAAAATTGGCCCTGAGCTAACATCCGTGCCCATCATCCTCTACTTTATATGTGGGACGCCTACCACAGCATGGCCTGCCAAGCAGTGCCATGTCCGCACCCGGGATCTGAACCGGCAAACCCCGGGCCACCGAAGCGGAATGTGGGAACTTAACCGCTGAGCCACGGGGCCAGCCCCTCCATTGAGTATTTTTATATTGTTTGTATATTTCATTTCAAAGTTTTTGCTTCTATTCTTTTCAAATCCATATGCGTATTTTTCCTACATGCCTTTCTTTTCTTTATCTCTTTGAACATTTTAAACATTTTTAACTCCTTAAAGAGTTCACTCTTATTTTTGGCTCTATGGCTCAAAATTCTCCCTTTTTGTAAGACTATTTCCTTGGTCTCATGGAGGAGTTGTCTCATGTACAAATGACATAATGTTTAATTTGTAGCAGTGAGCTTGTCTTCAGCAGGAATAACCATATATTTGATGTATTTGATATATTTCATGACTGTTTTAGTCTTCACAGTTACTAGAGTACTCCTTGGCTGGGATACTCTAGAATTCACTGATTCTTGACATTTTTTTCATTCATACTGATGCAGGCTCGGCAAGCCGAGGAGTTGAAAGAAAGATTTCTTGCATTCTCAAGGTCTGGCAGTAGTGCTCGTTTATTCAGAGAATAGCATGGAGTAGCATGGGGACAGAACCCATGGGCAGTAAGAGCTGCAATGGGTTGAGGGTCGGGCTAAACTTACAAGGCGTAGGTAGGTGAGTTATTTCTTTACAAGACAAAGGAAAGATCATGTAAAAAAGTCGTTAAAATGGTATCAGTGCGGGTGGGGTCTGGTTATTGGGTGGTCCTATAACTTTAGATAAGAATCAGATTGGATCAGATCAGGACATCCTATGCTTCCCAGAGATTGATATAGATCAGTATGTAGGGCAGGACCCCTTGGGCTTCTCCCTGGGGCAGCTTGATCCTCATCACATACTAACATGTATTTTTATTCTTGTATGTATCACAGGAAGAAATGTGGTCCTGGATTTATCTTGTTCCTTATTTACGGAGTCAGTCCGTATTTGTGCATCTGCTACTCAAAGCAGCACTTGAGGAATTTTTACATTCACTTTTCAATGGGTAGTAGAAAGGCACAGGTTTGGGCTTCTGGCATCTCATTGGTGACATATTCCCACCTCTGGTGTAATAGCCAGGTTCTAGCTAACCATGACCTCTGTGTCTCCCCTTACTGGTGGGGACAGTTTTACTTAACCAGCTCCAGGCTTACAAGACAGAACTCTGTTCCACCACTTTACACCTCAAGAAAATCACTAACAAATTTCCCAAAAGATTGTGCCAATTTACAGCAAAGTGTAAGAGTGTTGGTTTCATCCTTTCCTTGTCAGCATTCTTGGAGATTATCAAGAAGAAAATTCTTGAGTGAATTTGATCTGTACAAAAGATTTTGTGCTTTTGTAAGTGTTTACCTAGCAAAATAGTCTTTATATTTATTCGATACTCTTTGCTATTTTCCTTTCTGTAGATTTTGAAAGACCATGGCGAGGATTTTCTTGTTGGCAACAAATTCAGTTGGGCAGACATACAACTGTTAGAAGCTGTTTTAATGGTGGAAGAACTCGATGCTTCTGTTCTTTCTGACTTCCCTCTGCTAAAGGTAGTGTGTGAACAGCCACACAAAGCCCAGGAAGCAATGAATAGAGACAAAGACTTCAGCAAAATATGCCTCCAGGTCAATCTCAAAAGAAACTTCAGAAGAGCGTTTTAAGAATCATTACTTTTATTCATTTGTATAACTTTCTTTTCCTTACACTATAGGATCGTGAGGAAATAAAACCTCATGAAGGGAGAAAGAATAGGTTATTTTGGTTTCTAGCATAAGCATTTAGTGTTTTCCATGTTTTAGTGCTTTGAGTGGTTTTTCCTGAAGAAGCAAGGCTGAGAAGTCTGTCCTTGTTGCTTCCCTCCCCAGCTCCCACTAGACAACTCTGCACCCCACTCCCCCAATCACTCTGATGCCAAAGCCCCCGCGAAGTCTGTCGATTGTTCAGAGCTTCTGCTTGGGTGGCGCTGCCTCTCTCTTGCTTCATTGCCCATCCTCAGGCCACTCTCTCTGAATCCTGCCACTGCCACTCCTCGCCTGGCCTCTGTTCCACTTCCTTAGAAACATTGTATCTAATAGGTGACCACAGGTTTTGTCGTTTAAGAACGGCATTTTTTCTTATTACAAAAGAAATTCAATATACAACCTAAATTAGACATTTCTATAAACCAAAAAAAGAAAAGAAAAAGACCTAAGCAGCCAAATGTTGTTACATTAGACTCTGACCTATTATTTTACATTTTTTTCCCCCAAATAAGGTGATGCTAAGTATTGTTTCGTGGCCTGCTTTTAACATCTTTTTCAATGATCATAAATATATTTACATGTCAACAAATATTCTTCTGCCATATCATTTTATTGGATTTTATTTTCATTGGGCAGTCGTCACATCTTTCTGAAAAATCAGAACTATAGAAAGAGGGTATAAATTGAGAAATCTCATTCCCACCACGGCTCTCCCACCTTCCTGCCTGTATCATCACTTTTATTATTTATTTATTTATTTATTTTTGAGGACAATTAGCCCTGAGCTAACATGTGCTTCAATCCTCCTCTTTTTGCTGAGGAAGACTGGCCCTGAGCTAACATCCATGCCCATCTTCCTCTACTTTATATGTGGGACTCCTACCACAGCATGGCTTGCCAAGTGGTGCCATGTCCACACCCGGGATCCGAACCAGTGAACCCGGGATCTGAACTGGCGAACCCCGGCCCGCCAAAGCGGAACATGGGAACCTAACCACTGTGCCCCTGGGCTGGTCCATAATCACATTTATTAGTTTCCTGTGTATCCTTCCAGTGTTCCTATTTATGCAGATATGAGGAAATGTGAATATATATTTATTTCCTCACTTTTTTTACACAAAACAGAAAATAGTATATATTCTGTTCTGCCCTGGGCTTTTTTTTTAATCAAACAATGCGTTCTAGAGATCTTTCCCTGTCAATACAGGGACCTTCCTCTTTCCCTTTATATATAATATCATTTTAAATTGCTGGCTTATATTTCTTGCAGGGATGTACCATAATATACATAATCAATTTTCTTTTCTTGGAAACCTATGTTTCCTAAGTTAACATCTGTTGCCAATCTTGCTCTTTTTGCTTGAGAAAGATTGGCCCCAAGCTATCATCTGTGCCAATCTTCCTCTATTTTGTATGTGGGATGCTGCCACATCATGGCTTGATGAGCAGTGTGTTGGTCCATGCCTGGGATCCGAACTGGCAAACCCCGGGCCACTGAAGCGGAACGTACGCACTTAACTGCTGCACCACCGGGCCAGACCCGGACAATGATTTTTAATAAGATAGCTTAACTCATCCTAAACACACCAGCAAGTGTATTACCCTTCCCAGGAACATCCAGCCAACATGTGCTGAGTGATTAAGTCAAATTCAGCACCCTGGGCTCCATAAACTGCCAGTCTAAACATCCTCCTTTCATGACAAAGTTTTGATTTTTCTTGAAGCTTGTGATTTTTCTTGAGGCCCTGATTTTACCATTTCTCATTTTAGGCATTTAAAACAAGAATCAGCAACATTCCTACAATTAAGAAGTTCCTGCAGCCTGGGAGTCAGAGGAAGCTGCCCCCGGATAGCCACTATGTGAAAACAGTCAGGAACGTTCTGCAGTTGTGATGGCTGCAGGCCTTGTGATGGCAGCAGGAATGATCCAGTCGCAGCATCAGCATGTGCCGCCAATCAAAGCAAACCGTAGATCTTAGGAGTAAAATGTCTGGAAAGAAGAAAACCACATGGCCATCAATAACAAATCTCATTAAATGCAATATGAAACCGTTCTGATGGGTGAAATTTTTTTAAGCTTGTCAGTCGTGGAGGATGGTTACAACTTTTGTGAAATCACTGTTCTGTGTAAATAAATCGGAGGCTGATATATTTAGGGTGGTGGCCTACATAGGGCACTGTTCTTGCCATCTGCATCAAGATGGGCACCAGTGGGGGAAGAGGGAGCAGAGACTTTAGGGGGCATGTTCTCTCCAACACCCACCCTGATGCTGAAGACTTGGGAAAGAAAAACGGGGGCAAAGGGCAAATCAGGAGCATGATGATGGCCGACACTAGTAAATCCAAAGGGGAAATGTGGGGGACAGACAATGTCCAGGGAATACCATTTTGAGACCCTGAAAAAAATCTTAGACAATTAGACACCCCTATTCCACCTAACATAGCCACCAAGACTGGGTTTTGCTTTGGTGAAACAATTCCAAGTAGCATTGAGACTGAGATATAACCGATGACTCTTCATGCAAACTGACCCAAGAGTCCCTAGCCTTGATATACTTTCTTGAAAGATAGCTGTTGTGTTCCAAAGTCGTGTGATTTGGAGCTCAGCTCCGCATCAGGGCTGTTTGGTGGGGGATGGAGGGGCTGACCTGGTGAAGGGGCAGCTTTTCAGGGTGACCAGGCACAACTGTGGTTCCCAGTGGTCTCTGGTCTGGACCGGGGCTCCTGCCAACGGCTTGGGGTCCACGACTCTCCCAGCTCCACCCTGCTCCGGGGAAATCCTGCCCAGGCTGGCTGAGTGTGTATCCGTGAAAATGTCCTTCCTAGTGAACTGACTTAACGACTCGCCAGACTTGATGCCATTCCCTCAGGGCCACCACAGGGCATAACCGTTCCTGACCACACCTTGCCCCTCTGTTCCTCCTCCCCTCTTCAGAGGACGGGCTCATCACAGAGTTATGACAACCTGGGCCATTCAGCAACCCCTCCCCAGGCCGTGTGAGGCCTGATTTCCTGCTCCCAGGGTGGTCGAATGCCAACCTGGGGATTAGCATGTAGCCAATCACCCCGTTTCATTCTGCACCCCGAGAAAGCCATGACCAGCCACCACATGATGGATAAGACACAGTGAGAGAAAAGGCTTCTCAGAGGAAACCCTGCCCCTCTGTGTGGGATGACTTCTTCCTATAACCCCAGCTGAAGCGGAGAGTCTGACCCGATAAAAATTAAGTGGAAAAAGAAAAAGAGATGACTTTTTAATGATTCAAAACTATAAGCCATTTATAATCACATGACCTTTGTAAATAATTCAAACAGACTAGAAGGTTATACAGGGAAAACTAAAATCTATCCCTCCATGAATTGTTTTTAAAGACAGCCACACCCTCGGTCCTCACTCCTTGCCCCAGTGCCTCCTTTGAGAAGCCAAGGGTTGTGTGGTTGAATTCCCAAAGCTCCAAGCTAGTTTGCCCTGAGTTCCACTTGATGGTCTTTGAAAAGAAGTCCTAGGCCCGATGCCAGCCTGGCACCTTCTGGGAGCACAAAAATTAACTCAAAGTGGTTAAGTTTGCACGTTCCACTTTGGCAGCCTGGGGTTCACCGGTTCAGATCCCAGGTGCAGACATGGCACTGCTTGGCACACCATGCTGTGGTAGGCATCCCACATATAAAGTAGAGGAAGGTAGGCATGATGTTAGCTCAGGGCCAGTCTTCCTCAGCAGAAAAGAGGAGGATTGGCAGCAGTTAGCTCAGGGCTAATCTTCCTCAAACAAAACAAATCTAACAAACAAACAAACAGACCTGAAACCATAAAACTCTTAGAAGAAAGCATAGTCAATAAGCTCCCTGACCTCAGTCTTGGCGATGAGCTTTTGAATCTGACACCAAAAGCAAAAATAAACAAGTGGGATAACATCAAACTAAGAAGCTTCTGCAGAGCGAAGGAAATCAACAAAATGAAAAGGCAACCTACAGAATGGGAGAAAATATTTGCAAATTGTGTATCTAATAAGGGGTTAATATCCACAATGTATAAAGAACTTGTACAACTCAATAGCAAAAACAAACAATCCCATTTAAATGGGCAGAAGATCTAATAGACATTTTCCCAAAGTAGACACACAGATGGCCTACAGGCACAGGAAAAGATGCTCAGCATCACTAATCATCAGGGAAATGCAAATCAAAACCACAATGAGAGACCATCTTACACCTCTTAGAAGGGCTATTATCAAAAGGACCAGAAACAAGTGTTGGCGAGGCACCTTCTTCTTCCAGAGTTGAGCTAATAACTGTAAAACACAAGGCTTTAAAAAGATCCAGACACTGGCTGGGGAGAGATTATTCCATCTTGTTTCCCTGCATGGCCTCTGATTGCATTAAGGAGCCCAGTCCTGCAGGGACCTCCTGCTTGGCCACCTTCCAGTGAAAGCCTTCTGACATGCCAGACCACCAGGCCAACAGCCCAGAATGGGCCAGAGGGACGATTTGCTTTTGTTTTCCTGGTGGTGGTGAACTGCAAGTGTCCTCAGGTGGTGGGTCTATGCGGGCCCATTCTCCCTCGATGCATTCCCAGACCTGCCTGGTAGACTCAGGTTGGCTTCCTGGCCAGACTTCTAACCACCCAAGACAGTAGCCGTTCTAGGAGATGTGGAGGCAGTGGACTTCCCTCTCTCATCCACACTTGCTGTTTTCACTCCCCAGTGCCCTTACATTCTCTTTCCATAGACTCTTCTCTTTCTAATGATACAATAATCATAACAGCTACGGTTTTTGAGCGTCTGCTCTGTGTCCAGCTTTGTGCTAGGCACGAAATTTCTACTCTTACTTAATCTTTACAACCACCTTTTAAGGTAGGTCCCAGAGAAGTTAAGTAACTTTCCACATCACAGAGCTCGTAGATGGTTGAAAGGAAGTTTGAGCACAGATCTGCCTGGACCTGGAGCGCCTGCTGTCAATCCTAATAGCAGAGCACGTCAAGGGGCGGGAAGGACCTGTGCTGTTGTCAGACTGTGCGTAACAAGGATACCAGTATGGTGGAGAGGCGGGTGTGGAGAATTCTCAAGTTCTCCTTTAAGCTGCATCCCCTATTCACAGGGCCGTAATATACACCTAGAAGTAGCTGCTGTTTCCCAGGAGTCTAGATGCCCCTGTTGTCCTTTCACAATTGCAAAAGAATCCAATAATCTAGTTAATTCAATTGTTTTTCCTTTCTGGTCTTTGTGGTTGAATTTTAAACTATAATTTCGTTGCGTTTATTATCCCCAGGAGGCGTCATGGAGAATAGCTTTACATAGTGACAAAGCATCCTGTCAAGTGCGAAACATGCAGACAGAAGAGTCACGGGGTTGGAAGAGATGCTGGAGTTAATTGAATCAGATGATACTCGTACCCAGAGACACGTCCGCCCAAGTGGAGGGGCAGCTCCAGTCTCCTCCAGGAAATGGAATTGCAAAGGGTTTTCCATGGGTAAGATTATCCTCTATCTGAACAATTTCCCAAATCATTTTCTGGTGTATCTGGGCATCCACGTCAAGAAAAGCAAAAAGAAATTCTTGAAATGTTTGGTTTGTTTGTAGACTTTAAAGATAGACATTTATTCCTACTAATAAAATGAATTCAACAAAAATTTAAAATCAGAGGCTGCCTGCTAACTCTTACTTCAAGCTGATGTCTGTGACCAGTGAGGGACTTAAGCACGAGGCCTGGCATTCGGCAGACCCTCATAAACCACAGTTTTCCTCTTTCCTTCCAAACCCAGAAAAGAGGAGTCGAGATTTTTGCTGATGACCCTGAAATTGACATCTGCCTCCAGGTCGGCCACGTATGAGGTCAGAGGCCTTGAAATCCACAACAGAGATTCGTTCAGTGGCAGCCACGTTGCTGGTCCTGGGTGGGGAAACCCCACTCCTCCGTCTGGTGCAGGTGAGGTTTCTCCTTAACCAGCCTTGCTGGAGCTGACCCCACAATCCAGTCCTGCCCCCTTTGTTCAAAAAGAATTAGCTTTGAAAAGTGGAATTGTGCGGAAAGGATTCCTTTACCCTGGAGACAGAAAGATGAGATGAGATCCTCCCCATTGTTTAACATCAATGTCTGCAGGAAAATAAGTCAACCGAAGCCCATGACTGGTCCAATCCCTGTAGAAATGAAGAAGTATTTCCAGTGGTAGAAAATAGATAGCAACCCCAGGTCAGCACTTCCGCCAAACAGTGCCTTGTATGTCTTTTGACAAAAGAATACAGTTAAGACACACAGTCAGACTGCAACAGCAGCAGAAAATAATAGGCATTCCGAAGATTGCTGTGTCTGAAGCACTGAGCCTTGTGAAACTTCAGCTGCTGTCCCCTTCTGTCACCCACCCCGGGGTGGACAGCTTCATCAGTAGCGAGCCCTTTGTTTGAATCACCCATTGAGCACACAAGGTTTATACTCACTACGCCAAGTGTGGCCAGACTAGCAGCAGGGCGGAAGCTGGGAGCATGTGAGAGTGCAGTGTCAGGCCCTGCCCAGAACTGCTAAATCAGAACCTGCGTTTTATCAAGATCCCCAGGTGATCTGCGTGCGCATTGAATTTTCCGACATGGCCTTGTATTATTACTCATCTTTTCAAGCAAACACAGTCTTGGATCCCCAGGTAGAAGGCCATCCTCCCCGGAGGTAAGAATGTTCTATTTCCTTTCATCCACTGCCTGCTATCAATACCATAGGAGTCATCAAACATTAACTTAACAAGGACAACTGCAAGGGCCTGCCTCCAACTCAAACAAATGAGTCGCAAGGGCATTCAGGAGTAGGGTTGCGAGATTTAGCAAACAAAAATACAAGACATCCAGTCAAACTTGCATTTCAGATGAAGCAATGGATAGTTTTTTGATATAAGTTTGTCCCAAATGTGGCATGTGTCCTGTGTTTTAACTGGTGACACTACTCAGGATTCAAAGCCCTGGGCTGCCCTGTCCACCTCCCCCCCACCCATCTCTACCTGCTCTGTGTTTGAGACCCTTACTCGCTTCCCGGGGTGGTGGCTTTGGTTCGTGTTGTCTTCAAGCCCCAGATC